CAGGTCATAAGTCACACTTTCGGCAGATTGGCCCATTTTTCAGGGGCTCAAAAAATCGTTTTTTGTAAATATCTCAGCATCCAGTGGTCCAATTTTGATGAACTTTTTTTAAATTGTAGAGCTAAATGAGGGCTACAAAATAAAAAAAAGTTCATTAAAATTGAATTACTGGATGCTGAGATATTTACAAAAAACGATTTTTTGAGTTTCAGCAAAAAGGGGTGTTTTTGGCCAAAAGTCCATTATGACCTTTATATTAGATATCCGGGGTCCTGAATTTAAGATTACTGTTGATCGTGGTATCTGGCTTGCTACTTATTTTAACAATTCAAATCATAAATTCTTTATTGGACATTTACGAAATCAGCAATATGAAACATATAAAAAACATATTGCAATATCTGTTCCAGGAGAGACATGATGGAACAGTCTTTATAATATGTGTGTTAGTCTTTTAAAAACTCAACAAGCATTACAAGTAAGCATATTTAAATAATTTAATCATTTATTAAAAATTAGCAATAAATATAAACTTAATTCTAATTTTTTTATTAGATTCTAGCTATCAATTTCAAACCACCAATTGTTGAAACACGTCATCAGCAAGGAGAAACATCAACTTTACCACGTGAAATATTTGAGATTATTGACTCTTCTACATTCTGGAATCAAATTACGCTTATTAATGAAATTCTTGATCCATATTGAAAATTGCTTAATTTACTACAATGTGATAAGGCACGTTTATTTCAGGTAGTACATAGTATGAATTATTTGGTTCAATTTTGGTTGAATTATTCAGATGATACACTTGCTAAACGAATTATTGGACGATTGGAAAAACGTTGGAAAGATTGGGAACAACCTCTCCTTTTACTATCTTATTTATTACATCCTGAGTACCGAATGAATCAATTTAATAATACAATTTCTAGTGTCAATTATTCAGCATTTGGAAAGTGGCTAATGTATTATTATTGTGCATGGTCTGGAAAAGAACCAAAATGTATACTCCGTGAGTTTGATGATTTCTGGCTAGCTAAATATCCATTTGATCTTGAATCTTATAGACAATTTGATAATGACATTTGGCGTTATTGGTGCTATATTAGTGTTTCTACAAATGAATTGGGTTTTGTAGCTTGTAGAATTTTTGGTATATGCGTAAATGCAGCTTCTGTAGAAAGGCTTTGGAGCTGCATGGGGTTTTTACAAACAAATCGGCGTAATAGATTAATGGTATATTTTATATTCATATTTTGTTAAAAATATATTATTCTAACATTAATTTTTTAATATATAGTCATCTAAAGCTCTCCAAATGAGCAAATTAAGAGCTGAAATTACATATGGCCACCGTCTTAATAATAATCCACCATCTATTGAACCTACATTAGATATTAATAATGCAAATGAAACTGATATTAATCAACATTTCAATAATATAAATGGTTCGGAAAATGTTAGAGATAATAGTCCAGCTGCTAATTTTGAAACTAATTCTGAAACAATAGAAGATGATTCAGATGATGAAATCACTGAACCCCGGCTAGAAAATGATTTTGGTGAATATCTTCAAGGTTGGGCCAAAATGCTAGAGGAAGAGAAAAATGCCGAGCTTGATGAAGAAACTGAAGAACAAAGTAATACACAAATAGATGATGTTACTCATCCCGCTAATGATATTAGTGCTAAATGGGATTTGTTAACACTCTTTAATAATATAGATGTAAATTTACCATTCTAATAATTGATGTAAATTTACTGTATCTCTGATGTTAATTCTGCAAAATAATAAATGGATTTTACGTTTAAACATAAATATACTAATTATTAATCAATAATCATTGTTCTAAACGTAAACTTTTATTTAAATCGTAAAATAAAATAATCATGTGATTTATATATAATGTCCGTGATATGTCTGGGACATAAAAAGTGCAGGACACGGACAGGGACTGTCCGGTCCCGGCTGTCCCATGTCCGTGTCTGTGTCCCATGACAACACTGGGTCTAAGGTAAAATCATATATAAAATTCTTTGCAAATCCTACTATAAAAGGAAATTTTATATTACATTGTTATGATTTTTTTCCTTTTTAGCTAATTAACCAATAGAATTTAAGAAAAAAGTAAGGTAAAAACTATTAATAAAGGGCTAATTTTCTACAGTGACCTTTATTATAAGTAAGTAGGATCCTGTTCAGACTGGTTAGAGCTTTAATTATAATGCAATTATCTTGACTTCCAGTAATCCAATTTTAATAAACTTTTTTTTAATTTATAGCACTTATTTAGTTCTATAAATCTAACTTTACAAAACAAAAAAAAGTTTGTTTAAATAATCACTAGAAGCCAAGATAATTATATAATACTAATTATTATGTATAATATTTAATATTTAATAGTAATAATTTTTTTAGCCAATCAGATTTCAATCAGGTAGGGGTGGGGGTTAAGGCTACTAATTGAGGGAAATCAGCTGATTTTTAGCACGTCCTCAAATAAAAATAAATGTTATTAATAATAAAAAAACCCCTCAAAAAAATTTTTTCTAAAAGCATACTAGGCTTTAGCCAAAACTTTTTATAAATATCTTTTCCAACTAGATTCATTTTATTTCTGGTCACTTCTTTATATTTTTCCACTATCTAAAATAATAATAAGTATTATTGACCAAATAGGCTTTTATAAAACATAAGTAAGTGATTTTACTTATGTAAAAAACTTTCATAAGATCTAAGAATTCTTTATAATAGGCTTTACTAGTGAAATAATTAGTATTTTCTTGATCATTTATTTTTTTTGCAAATTTATTTCAAAAAAGATACTTCTTTTTGTTTGTAATATCATGATACTTCACATTTCTATATTTTTATTCGTCAATGAGAATATGTGAAGCTAGGTATAAAGATGTTAGCCTTAATTATTTTTTAAAAAATTTTAAATTACGGCTATAAGATTTTTATAGCCTTAATTAATTACGGCATATAAAAATTTTGTATTACGACACTTTTTTGAATTACGGCTAACATCTTTAGCTAGGTATTAAAGAACTCTATAGTTGATTTCTTTTTTACATGGTAAAGATATTCTTCTAGGGTCTGTTTTATAAAACAATATCAAGTGCATTAGATCATTGTAAAACAATTAATTGATTAATGTAATGAACAATAATGGTAGCTTAGCTATCATGTTAATAGATCAAGTAAGGTGAAATCTGATTGGCTGATCATCTTGTGATTTATAGAAATTCACCAGCTTTTAGAACTCTCCTAGAACTATCAAGAAACTATCAAGAAACTGGCAGTAATTTAGGGAGATCATATGTGATACAAATTTTATAGTTTAGCTGTCTATAGTAATCAGATCTAATTTAACTGAATCAAAAAATTATAAATCTATCTTTACCCAAACAATTCAAATAAAAATGAATTTGGATTTACTACTGTATAGTCTCACTAAATCGGCTACAAATCAATAAAGTCACTATAAAGCATCAAAACTGCTAGAAATCTCTTAACCAGTAAATCTGTATAAATTTGAATAATGATATTCTCTAGTATAGGTTGATAAAGAATCAATATAACACACTGAAATTGCTAAAAATGCTAAAATCAACTATAAATTGCTATACCCGTAAAATGGTTAAAAATAACATTGGGAAATTTTGATTTGTGATTTTATAATCTCTGCACAATTTTTTAATGATTAGTGGTGATCTGTAAATGCAGATTACAGTCAACTCTTAATATAACGAAGTTGGCGTCTGGGCTTCGTTATATTAATATGATGGAAAATCTGGTATAACCCAGAAAATTTTTGTATATTATGGTATATTGTTGTATAATAATTGTATTTTATAATGCAAAAACGCAAGTTACACAAAATATCATTATAAAAGAAAATTCGTTATTAAAAGGTACATTTTTCATATACAGTTTATAAAATTTACTTCGTTAAATGGTATACGGCATTTAATTAGTAAAATTCGGTATAATGAGCTTTTTTTTCATATGTTAAAATCTGTACCACACTGAAGATCCGTTATATTGTAAAATTCGTATATCATAAATATTTTTGAATTTTTAAAAATTTTTGATAAGAAGAGTTTGACTGTATTATTAATCAGTCTAGAGTTGTCCCCCCCGTTAATTTATCTAACCCCTAGATAAAACACTGATGGATGTGATGATTTTTGCATAGTCACGTGACCATTGCTTTTTTTTGTAGGTCATATCTGATATCATCAGAAAGTTTGCATAACTTTATTGATGGTTTTTTAGATATATAGAGAATCAGAAAATGATATACAAGTGAAATAAGTGATACTATCAAAGAGAGAGCGATATAGTTCTTTTTACCAGAATACGGGTGAATTTCTTGATGGAATTGTGATATTGCGTCAAACTTCAATAAATTTCGTGGCATGTGATTAAAAAGAACTGCACCAATGAGAAATATTTTTTCTGAATGAATTTTATTTTGCCTAAATGAAGATGTTTTTACATTCAAATTCTTCCCTAACGAATAGCCAAAGATTTTTTATTTATTTTTATTTAGTATAAAGCAGCTTCAAAATGATAGTTACAATTTATATTAATATAATGAGTCTTTGTCTGCTGAACAAAGTGTTCCGAAACATGTGCGTGCAACAGAGTAAACTTCAATATAAAAAATGACACAAAGCTTAATGAGTATTACAAATTTTCGAAAACTTTAGAAATGAGCAGCAAATTTGATTTCTAATTTAATGCAATAATACTTCTCGTGTTACGTATTAGCAATGAACATTCTAGGAAACAATTATTTACATTTTAAAAGGAAATACGTTTTACTTGATTTGGAGAAAAGTCAATACAAAAAAACGGACAAAGAAAAATTTTTTGTTGAATCTGCCAGTGTGTAATTGCAATAAATAACATCAAAATGATATCAATATTTTTTTACCCCCGCATATCTCCATTTCTTTCTTTCTTTAAAAACATCAATATTTCTTTACCCCCCGCGTATCTTCATTTCTTTCTTGAAAATTTCATTATAAAAAAACATAGAATTCATAAGGAAGAAGATTTGATATTTTCTTTTCTTTTAAAAAAAACAAAGAACATAAAATTAATAAATTGATAGGAAGAAAATTTGATATTTTCTTTTTGATAATTACACCAATAATGAATGGTTTAAATGATACAATGATTACGACAGATATAACGGAATGTCGGTGAGTAATCTACCTATATGTTTCTTTTTCCCTAATTATAATTTTTCTCATAGTAAATACTTCATATCGCAGGTGGGAAATAAAAATTGAAGGATGCAAGGATGCCTCATTCTTTCGTATAATTATAGGAATAACATTAACATTACATATAATTGTATTTATTATAAGTACAAGTTTGTTACTTTACAGAAAAATAAGATGTAATAGTGTAATATGGAATGGACAATGTTTTACTGCTTTAGATGGATTTCTTTTTTGGGCCGATATTTGGTGTATAGGAAGAATAATATTCATCATTGATGAGTTAGGAAACTTTACAAAAGGTTCTATAATATTTAGATATATTTTATTCGAAATTATGGCTTTCCCTCCAATAATTGCTGTTGCGACTTATACTTCAGGATTGTAAGTATTATATAAAAAAATGCATTTAATGTTGATTATCTCTCTGATTGACTTTCTCCGCAAAATTTTTTTTGTATTCGAAGATTTTATGCTATACCGCGAATAAATTTTAATCGACATTCTATAACACAAGAACCAACGACACCTAAACAAGATTTCATAAAAAATCAAATATATCTTCCCCGTCCGCATGTTGTTTCACACTTTTATTGGATTTTTATTATATTTTTTTTTATAATGACATTCGTTCCTTTAATAATTGCTGCTATTGCCGAACAAAATAATAATGATAAATTGAAAGATATTTTTTGGCCTATTCATTTTTTAACATATGCTATATCATTTGGATTATTGACTATCGTGTTGACTTATTACGGGTAAGTCAGAAAACGTGAATCACAGTATTTATTATAAATGCGTAAATTTGAATGAAATTTTAAATAAATATATATTTAAAATTTTCTTTTGCATAGTCGAATGCTGGTACGATTGACTGAAAAATCAGTATCATTATCAAATGACGAATTCGAAAAACAAAAATATAGAATATTCTTATACAAGGTGCGTTTTATTTTGAAAATTCTTTTTTTAAATTTTTTTTTTCGCGTTTCAATTTCCTACTAAGTTTTTTTTTTTCTCTCTCCAAATTTTAATTTAACAGATAAGATTGTTTAATGTGACATTATCATTTGTATTTATATTGTATATATTAGGATTAACAATATTTGCACTTTGGAGAAAACAAATTTATTCTTACGAGATGATAAATAAAATATTCGCTTTTATGATTGAAATAATGTCAGTTGTGGCTGCATTGACTATTGTTTGCGCATTATTTTATAAGTAAGTGCTTGAGGAATTTACTTTTAATCTTAAAAAAATTATGAAATTAACTTACTAACATTGATATATGAAATAGTGAAATAATAGCACCAATAATTACTCTAGCAGGCCCAAATGATGAAAAAAATAACGATCCCCCAATATCAGATTTTGATGACAGTATTATTATTAGTGAACAAGAGTGTTGATCTTGGTTATATTGTGATATGAATTCGACCTATTGCACGAAGGAATTTTAATAAGCATCAATATAATCATGGAATCTAATTATCATAAATTTTGTTTTCGATTATTTGTTAATATATATTTTTATATTTATTACATATTTATTTACATAAAAACATTTCTTTCACAATTCAAAATCCTTTTATTAATTATAATAGTGTTCCACCAAATCAGAATGGTTAATTAAAGAAATGCTGTAATAATTAATTATCTATTTGTTATTACCAAAGAACATTAATTAACAAATACCTGTTACACTACTATTTCAATATTACAACCACAAAGTGTATGTCATCTTTCTTTCTCCCCTTTTTTTATACCATTTTTTTCGCACATTCTCTTTTTATACCAACCAAATGTTATTGATGATTCGTTGCAACGAATTGTACATGTTGCTGATAAAATTCCAACATCTAAAAGAAATAAAATGTATATTTAACGAAAAAACATAAATTAATAAATATACTCGAGAGAAAAAAAAATTATACTTTTTGTGGACATTTGACATTTGTTACTTTGTTAGTGTGTGATGTACGATGTCCATTTTTCCTATTATAATTAAAGAAAAAAGAAATAATCAATGGTATCTTATTAATTTTTTGAAAGAAATTTAAATATAAAAAAGTTTAAATTTAAGTACAAACCAATTCAGAAAAACTATTAGTGTTCCCGTGCATGGATCTTGTTGAATGGTGGCAACATCTTTAACAAAAGGTTCCCAACTTCCAGATATAGCAGCAGGTGTAAAATTTTCATATTCATCATCGTCATAATCATATTTTAACATTTCTTCATTTTCATATCGTCCTTCATTATCACTATTATTATTTGCTTCACCAAATTCAGAATTTTCAGTAGATTGTAATGGGGTAGTATAATAACTAGCCGAGGATATTTTGCCATTATTATTAATATCATTATTCCTGTTAACACCATTTTTATAACCACCTTTGTCTTTGTTGCTACCATTATTATTATTCACTAATTTACCCTTAGTTTTTGTTGTTTTTAATTCAACAAAACTTTTCTTTTTAATCTGTTTGTCTTTAATTTTTTTAATTCTATTTGATTTCGGTCTTTTCATTGATTTACTTGCATTAATATTATGTTTATCTACCAATGACTTTATTTTTTCCTTTGCTTCTATTTCTTTGTTATTCCAATATTCACTTTCTTTTTGTTCTGCATATCTAAAAAAATTAAAAGAATTTAAAAAGAAAAAGAAAGAATATTTAACATTTATTATAAATAAATTAAAAATATATATACACATGTTCTTTTGACACCCAAGAATTATGTTTATCAGGATATCCTAAATAAAAATAAAAATAAGATCAATTATTTATTTACTTATTATTTTTTAAGTAATCCAAATATTTTTACCTTTCCACTTAATCATATATTGTATTGATCCCTAAACAAATTATAAAGATATTTTTTTTTTATTAATTTTTTTTTTTTAGAATTCTAGTTCAGAAAGGAAAAAAAATGACAATACTCTATACGTCCGATGATCAACTATTTTCTCAATTTCAAAGATCTCGTCATCATCTTCATCTTCATCTTCTTCATGTTGCTGTTGTTGTTGTTTCTTTTCATCATTGTTGATTTTGTCGCTACTAAAAGAAACTCGTTTATCGTTATTCGGCGTCTCATTATGATTAGAATCAAATTCCAGATCTCCTGCTAATTCATCAATCTCTTCGCTAATATCTGAAGAATTATCCTCTGTAGTTACCATATTAAACTCGAAACTCGTTGATGCTAATTTTGTCATTTAATAATCTACAAAGTTTATGCTAAATAAAAAAAAAAGGATAAATTCAGTTAGTAAATAAATTACTAAGAAATACGAGTTCATGTTGATACTTACAAAGACTATCTAGTATACTATAGATTACGAGGTATCTAATATAAAAAAAAAAGTTTAAAATTTCTCGAATGCTACTAAAAAAAATTTTTTTAATAATAAAGAATATAATATAAACGCGTTTGTTCTATTTATTATGAATGGTGATCATTCCTGCTAATAGCATTCCTGCTAATACTTGTCACTAATTAATATGGTACAATCTTGATAGATTAACGGTATGCATTTTTTTTTCTTGATAGAGCAGTAACGTAACACAGCATTTTATAACAGTACGACAAAAAAGGTAATTTAATTTATATAAATATGTTCCCTTACCTAAGCCCATACCTGTTATCCAAAGTGTCAAAAAAGATAGTATCTTTATGAAAGCACATAATTTGTTCTATGTCTTGAACAATTCCTTTCATTCAAAAATTCTGTATTAAAAAAAGAGATAAACTGGCTACATAAAAGAATGAAGCAGTAAATGTAGTAGCGTTAAAAGGAGAAAGATTAATATAATTTTCTAAAGGTTGTATATATAAAATTATTTAAAAAGAAGAGCATAAAGAAAATGTATTAACTATCTAGAGTGCATGTATATATTGTATATAGAATGAATGAATCATTTAAAGAAGAACGCATCCATAAAAAATTTATCCAAAAATTCCATGATTCTGCTACTTTTACGAAATAGATTCATTTTTTACAAGGCATATATATTATATAAATTATAAAGATAAGATAAAGTACATAAAGGAGAGTAGTGCGTATGTGAATTATTTGAAGAGGAAGGTTTGTGTGATGAATGTTTGGAAAAGAGTAATTTGTAGCAAAAGTAATCATAAAAGTGGAAAATCGAAAGTATGTGAATCAATAGTTTTAAATCAAACCGATTTCTTATCACCGTACGAATTTGATCAGTTTTTTTTTGAAATAGATAGTATGTTATGATTTATTAATCAAAAGAATAATAATAACAAAAAATTTTATTGCATTTCATATACCGTGTATTAGAAGAATTACACTAAGAGAATAATATTTTTAATATTACCCCGTGTAGACAAACATAAATTCAATTATAATTTAATTATTTTAAATATTCTTTCTTCCTACTGTTTCTCCTATGGGAAAAAAATGCCAACTCTGATGTATAAAAGGATCGTGTTACAGTTGATGACGAGTCTATCTATTCGTTTACCAATGATCTGCAAGTCATCCCCCGATAGTCCTTTTAGACAGAAATAAATAATAAGAGTTTATGAGTGGTTATTAACACAGGTAAATGGCAACTAATAAGTTGATCCCTGCCGTAGTTATGGAAATAAGTACTCCTCCTCAAGACTTCTATATCTGCTTGTTAACTACAGCTACAGAAAGCTAGTAAAAGAAAACAACCGAGAACTCTTTCTTAAGCGACGTGGGAGCTCATCGTCTTCGTTGGAGGGAATACATAAAATCAGAATTAGTTGTCGATCGAAATGTAAGATATAACTATACTTTTACTGTAGTTATTCTTGATCTAGATGAAAACAGCTTGTTGAACGTAAAAGAAAAGATGGTGTAGATAATCTTGTTAATTAAAGGCACTGGAATGTCTTCTTGCAGGATTGGAAGTGTGGAAGTGTGCAAGTGTGAAAGCTTACAAAAGAAGTGAGTTCAATCCAATTGTCTGCAGGAACTGAGATAAAACATGTTTAAATGCTTGAAGGTAATTGGTGCATTGAAAATTACATGTTGAACAACTAGTTGACTTCAGTCCTTCAAAGCGAAAGCACTTGTATAGAAGAGAACTAGTTCTAGTATAATTATACTAATTAATTTAAGAATACTCATTATTTACTGGCATGTGAAAAAATAGATAAAGAAGAGTGATCTGCTTAATTCACATTTATTAATAAGTAGTATTTACAAATATTATAGTAAAATTTAATGATATTATAATTTGTGTAATTAATCAGATTATATTTTAATAATTAGTGATAATAATAAAAACTCCTGTATTTTTGCATTTTCAATAAATCTAGGTGAAATTTTGTTAGTTTGATATTTAATCCAATTCTTAATCCTGTAATACGCTTCATCGATAATTGTAATTATCATTTCCGTCATAACTCACCAAAAGTTTATTTACCATCCAGAAAATAGTGTAAATAACATTATAAATTTACGACTAGTGTTGATATTCGTAAGAGATGACATGGCAAGTATAATAAATATAATATTTCGTTCTTAAAAAATTTTTATTAAAAATAAATAATAACGTTTATTATCTAAATGCATAGAATTTTTTTTAATAAAATATATACAAAGAAATCATAAACACATAAAGATAAACTTATACTAAAATTTAAAAAATTTAAATATAAATGAAAAAAGGTGTAATTTTACACTTTGTATTCTTTACCTCTTATTAACTAAACGATTCTTATGTATATTATTTTATTGATAATTTTAACATTAAAGATTTTTTGATAAAAAATCAATTTTATCAAAAATCACAAAGAAGTCCTATTGTTAAAGGATATAAATCTATAATCCAAATTATAACAAATAAAATCTATTTCTCTAAGGGTAAACTGCCTATTAAAAAGGGAGAGGGGAATTTTTCCCGCTTTTTTTTACTAAATATATAATTGCAAAAATGCAGAAAGAAAAGTGCATAGCAAATAAAATAATAATATATATATAATGAATTTTTTTTAAAAAAATTGTTTATAATAACTTGTGTTGAAGAACTGATCTTCAAAATTTCTGTTATAATATATAATATACAAGTATAAGTAAATTAGAATACAATTGAAATCACTAATTAAATAATAGATAGACACTTACCCAGTTCTTATCTACTTCCATAGCCCACTTGAACTTGTCACGTAGGCTTTTGTTGAAAATTTTGTCAATCGGTACATCATGTTTATAACACCAAGCAGCCGAAATACGAGGATCAATATAATTTATCTTCGAGGTCCCTAATGCAGTAGTTTTATTTTCTTCTTTTTCGACTTTTGTGAGATTAACTACCTTGATACGTTCATTAACTTTTTCAATTTGAGCTTCAACTTTCTCAACTGTTTGACTTTTCTTCACTTCCATTTTTCCTGTCTTACGTTCTTTAGATAATTGCTTAGTTTTTTCCTCAGCCTCCTCGAGCTGTTCATTCAATTCACTTTCAGAGAGCGGCCCCTTACCCTCTGACTTGCGTTTTTCATTATCTTTTTCAAACTTCTTTCGAAGTCTATCTTTTTCTTTTTCTTCTAAGTGCTTCTCATATTCTTCACACCATTCTTCTCCTAAATCGGACTCCGGTTCATCGAGTTCAGGTCTTTTCTTTTTCAGCTTTGGATCCAATGTCAACATCGTCTTCTTAAGTCTCATCTTTTGATATTTCAAAGCACGTATCTATTATAGATGATCATATAGTGTTTAAGCGTTGATAATGTTACATACTAATAGAAAAATGAAATGAAAATTAAAATGAAATCTTTATTTACCTTATCTTCAATTCTATTCATTTGATTATCAAATGTTTTACTGACAGTACGTTGATGGTTACATAGAATAGCCACTTCACGGTTTGCTCGATTATACGCTAAAATCTTTTCGTTGACGGATCCACTTACCGGAGTATTTTTAAGTTGTTCTTGAAAAGTATGTGAAGCATTATAAGTACGGAACACTTTAGCTGTTAAGCCATCCATGTATGACGAAAGATGTTTATTCAATTCTTGTGTCTAAATTTAAATGGAAACGTCAAAATTTATTAATTATAAAAAAAAAAAAAATTATACGACGATATATAAGCGGGAAAGTACATACGTTTACTCTATCAAACAATTGATCTTTATCGGATTCCTTGTGTCTTTGGAAAAGCTTGAGGTTTTTGAAAACTTGACCATCTACAGTTACAGTGTTCTGATATCGTATTGAATCTTTACCAAGGAAGTCAAAATGAACAGTATTTCCCGCTTCCAGCCTTATATGTTCGAAACGAAGCGAACAACAGCCTACTGTATCGGCTTCTTCACCCTCCTTCTTCTCATTGCCAGCTCTGAGTGCAAGACGGTCAATAAAATACATAGCTGTAGCACGTTGGCGAATTGCTGTTACTTTGTTCGTCATGTCTTTATTGTAATCATGTCGAATTTTTGCAACAATATCCTTTAAACCAAATTAAAATTAAATACAACGTATAAATTTATTAAGAAATTTAATTTTTTTTTTTTATATTTCTTACCTTAAGTTCACGAGCCTTTTCAAATTTCTTAAAATCGCTTTGACCTTTTAGTGTACTGTTGGCGGCTAAAAAAACATATTTAATATTCTCGTTGACATTCTCTTTCCATGTTGCAAGCCAAGTTACTGTGTTATCATGGATAACTTTGTTCCAGTTATGACCTGCTGGAGGTTCAGGAACCTTTGCCGCTTTGCCAATATTGATAGTTACTTGCTCCGGTTGAACTCGAAGCTAGATAAATAAATTCGATACAATTAATATTAACTTACTAATCATATGTTAAATTTATTAACCATTTCTAAGAATTAATTTTATAATCCGCTCTTTCACGTCGAATATAAGCTTCCATCCCAATGATATAACCAAGGTCGCAATGAAAATATCAGTTTCAGTTACGAATTACGATTATTACCTTCAATGAACCTGTCTTTGGGTGTTTACCACGACCACGGAATAAGCTTGGAGGTTCAATTCGGAAATTGCCAACTTTTTGCTTTCGACCATCTAAATAACAATAACCATACTTCTCTTCCAATTGAAGTTTTTCTTCTTTGAGTTTTTGTTTTTCTTCCTTTGACATTGCTTTCCGTTTTTCCTTTTCTCGTTCAAGGTGGTCTAAGATTGGCGTGAAGTCACATTTCTTGAAATCCTCAATGGGCGGATTCTATAAATTATAATTACGTATTGCATCGTTAATAGCAAGATAATAAAATAATTACTTTTTTGATCACACAAAATTACCTTGTCAGACTTATCCAAAATTGCCTTAAAGTCTCTGAAAAAATTTTCATTGAATGTGGGGTTTTCGACATGTTCAGTATTTAAGGCAGCAGCATAAAATGTTGCAACTTCTTCTGCTTCAGGTTCAAGATGCACCTCTTTGCCTAAATAGAAAATCGAAAGACTAAATATAAAATATTAATTCAAATAAATAAGAATTCATTATAAAGCTTACCATCATACTTCATCTTCACATTATGCGGAACATATTCAGGAGGAAAATATACTCCATTATGTTCTAGAGTATTCCATTTGACAGTACCATCACCCTTAGCATTTTCAGCTTCCCACCAACGATATTCTTCATCGTCTTCCTCATCTGATTCTTCTTTTACAACCTTTTGTTTACCCTTCTTTTTTTCTGACATATCTTTTTCTGCGGGGTCTTCCTTTTTTTTCTTTTTCTGAGGACTGGCCTTTTTTACTGCGCTTTTGGCAGTAGACTTGGCGGGTCTTTTTTTATCGTCAAATTCGGAATCAGACTCATTCCGCTTTCGCTTGGCTTTAGTATCATTAGTCTATAATTAAACACAATTAAATTTTCAAAAAAAAACCAAATATAATATTCACGTTTAACTAATATCATTTCATTAATTTTTACCTTTGGTGTCTTATTCTCTTGTTTGACCTGTGCAGCATTAGCTGTATTAGCTCTTGTAGTTCTTTTACTAGGAGTCGCTGACTTTTTCCCTTTATTACCTCTTTTTCCGAGCGGTACATCACTTTCGGAATCAGAAAGTTCTTCCTTAACAGCCGACTTTTTACCATTTGCTTTTCCCACCTTTTTAACACTTTCTAATTCGGCGTCTTTCATTTCAACGTCCTTATCTGTCTCTGTCTTAATTGTCTTATTTTGTGTAGTTTTTTTATTATCATCTCCTTCAGAGTCGGACTCTATTCGCTTCCTCTTTGTTTTCACCACCTATTTAGATCATAAAAGAATATTCTAAAAACAAAAAAAAAAAAAAAAAGATAATAATAAAGGCTATATTTAAATAACATATACCGGCTCTTTCTTAACAGGTATTGTTTGTCTCGAAGAGGAAGGAGAAGAGACCTTTGGCTGTTTCCCTTTAGACGACAGAGAATTAGTTGAAGACTTAGTACCCTTAGATATTCTCTTGGCAATTGGTACATCGCTTTCAGAATCCTCTTCTGAATCAGGTATTATTTTTTTCTTGGTCTTACGCCTCGTCTGTTGATCTTCGAAGTTACTTGGGTCTTCTTTTTTTATAGTTACTTCTTTGGTTTGGCCGTTTGACCTTGTAACCCTTTTACCGTTAGATGTAGCTCCTAGCCTTTCTCTAATAGGAACATCACTTTCAGATCCCGAAGCCTCAGCTTCTTTGTCTTCAAGTTCTTGTTTAATAACTTGTGAACGTTTATTTGCATTTGCCCTAACAGGTTTTGCTGGTGCACTCTTTCCATTACTTTCAGTAGACTTAGCAGCACCTCTTGTAGAAGGGGCTTTTTTACCATTTGGTTTGGTCATCTTTATTTAATTCTTTGAAAGAAAATAAAGTTTTCGTTTTTCAAAGATCAATAAAAGATTTTGGTATAATAAAATTAAAGAGTTATAAATGGTGTATTCGTTTAGAACAATTTTAAACAACAAGAAAAGAAGTCGATAAAACAATTTCAATTCTTATACTTTTTTTTTTTTCGACCCCTGGATGAGATTGATGAGGACTCTGTTTTTTTCAACAACAAAAAAAAACCTACTGAATGATGATGACTTACCCCTACTGTACACCATTTACCGTTACACAATCAGTGGCTTTGCGATATATGATTGGACAGATTATTAGGTTTCTGAAAAAAAAAAAAATCAGGACAAAGGGCTTTCATTCAATTATCAGTTATTACGAGAATTTGACTACGCTTCTTTTTTTTTTTTACGCAGTAATACGTATTTTTTGTCAGTAGTTACACAATTTGAATGTGTAATGAAAAGTGCATAGTAACCGTGCTATAATTTTCATTGTGATATTGTGATAAATGTGGTGTGACAAACTCCTAAAACCCGTTTACGAGAAATTTTGCAACCAAATTATGCATCAAAGGACAGGTTTAGAACTTGACTTGGCATGGGCTAACAATTTGACTGACAGCATGCAAGTTTATATAATAGATGAACTCGCGCCTTTAATTTCGTAATTAATTTTTATTATTCAGCTGATAACATCATTTTGTATGACTCCAAATACATGAGAATGAATAACTTTATATTTATTTGATTCTCAAATGTCTCAATAATAAATTAAGAAAGGAATATACAATATATTTTATTATTAAAAAAAAAAAAAGAATGTATCACATTTTAATATTTTTGATGGTTAAGATTTCCTTATTTCATTCAATTCTATTCTAAATATAAAATTTTTATTTATTTAATATTAATAAAGCTGTATTACAAATCTTCACGTGATATAATTAGCCTCAGATTGTGTCACAATGATATTTTAGCATTGTAATTTTGACACTTTTAGACAAATTGTGATTCGTAATTGAGTTCCGGATTTTTTTTTTTTTTTTTAGAAAAAAAAAAATGGAGGTTCCATGTGACATTATGAATTTTTTTATTATATGTTTAAAAATCACGAAAACTCTTCATGTTTTCCTTTCATGGAAACAATCGTTAATTTTTTCATTGAGGTTAAAAATTATGAATATCCTTATTTAATAATGAGTCACAATCGACAAAAAAAATTCTGTTAAATTCAAATATGCATTTACCTGTCGGAGAGGTATTAATAAAATGTAATCGGATTCGACCATTTAGGTTTAGATTGAAGTTAATCCGTTCGTCAAATGACATTCTTAAAGACACCAATAAGATTCTTGCTTTTATTATCATAATTCATTTTTTTAAAAAAATAGAAATTCACTAATAAATCTAAAATTAATGATTGATTAACAGATTGGAATTATAAGACCAAACTCTATTTAGAGGATCAGATTTAATATTAGGATTATCGGATCTATTCGGATCCATTTGATTAATTTAATTCATGTGTATCACGTGAATGATATAATACGGGAAGAGCGGGACGAAAAATTTTATTTATAGTAATTTGGAAATGCCAAGTACCCAGCTGTCCCAGCATACCCAACACAAAAAGCAACCCTGAATTATTAAGATAGTCATTAGACCGTGAGAAATTCGGAATTTTCCGAAATTTATTTGGAAAAAATTCACGATTATCGTTATTATCGTTAAAAATGCAGCTAATTTAAACTGCGTTACACAAGAAATGGATAAAAATTACCAAATTTCTTCAAAATTCATATACTCAGCCAAAATCTAACCTGATAATTTATTTTTTTTACCATCGAAACCTTAATTGATTCATGTCGTACGACAGTAACCATAATAGTGAAATTTATATAGTAAAAAAATAAAAAATATATCTGAATTTCTCTTCTTTTTAGAAACTTTTTCTTTCAAAAATCCCACGATATAATTATAAAAAATAAATATATAAACACCGGAAAATATTTTTGCCCTAGAAAAAGCTTTTTTCTTTCCCTATATAGTCAATATGCCTGACGACGTTCCTTACAAAAGACAACGCGTTTCTAAAGCTTGTGATTCTTGTCGTCGCAAGAAAGTGAAGGTATTTTATTTAATCTCTAAACTTTCTTTATTAAAGTTAATTTTTTTACTTATTTATTTCATAAATTTTATATATATAATTTAGTGTGATGGTATTCAACCAACTTGCGGTAACTGTTCTGCCTTTAACTTAGAATGTACATATAATGATACAACGAAGAAGAGGTGAACCATTTTAAAATTTAAAAATTCTTTCATGATCTTATTTTAATATTAAAATTATTTATTATTTTATTAGAGGACCTCCAAAAGGTTACATTGAAGCTATTGAAACTCGATTACATAGAATGGAATCCCTTTTAGGTGGATTAGTTCATAGTAATGATCCAAGAGCTGAAGCTGTTTTAGCAGAATTAATGCATGATGATTTACGTTCTCAACATAAAGCTGATTTCACATCTTATCGTAATAGTTCATCATCTACTTCTAGTGATAGTTCACAATCTGGAGTTTTAAATACTAGTTTACCGACACTAGATGGTAAAGATAGTCCAATAATTGATGATTTAAATGAAGTTATGGGTATTCTTAGTATTGACGAAAACAAACAAGTTAGATATCATGGTAGAAGTAGTGGGCTTTATCTATTGAGAAAAAGTGATAAATATAAGGATGGTATTTTATCAATCAAAAATCGTTCAAATTGGGGTCACCAGGGTGAAGTAATTGCTTCTACTCAAAATTTCGATTTATTAAAACGATCAGAATTAACAGAATTACCTTCTCAAGAAATATCTGATCATTTGTTAGAACTTTTTTTTACTCATGTGCACCCTATATTACCTTTTATTTACAAACCACGCTTTTTTGATCAGTTAAAAGATAAAAATCATTTACCTCATCTTTTATTAAATGCAATTTATTCATTTGCTGCTTTATTCTCTGATAGAATTGATATTCGAAGAATTCCTGAGGATCGTACAACAGCTGGTGATATTTACTTTGATCGTGCAAAGGCGTTACTTGACAACGATTATGATAAAGCACGTGTGTCCACTATTCAGGCTTTGCTTGCTTTATCTCTAAGGGAATATGGTGTTGGTAGAGTCACAAGAGCTTGGCTTTGGTCTGGTATGGCCGCTCGTATGGCTCAGGATTTAGGAATGCATCGTAATAATGAAAAATGGCATCCAATTAATTTGACTCGTGAAGAACGGGAAGAACAAAAACGAGTATTTTGGGCTTGTTTTGTGCTTGATAGGTAAATACATTCTAGATTGATAAGAATTTAGAATTTTATTTTTTTTTTAAAAAAAAAATATTACATATATTTATATGTTTTTTCCCAACCGAATTTTTAGGATACCAAGTGCACATTTGGGTCGACCATTAGCTATTGATGAAAAGGATGTTGATGCTGCACATCCTTCGGAAGAAGAGGAAGATGAATTTGAACCACTTCCATTTAAAATGGAACACGTAACAGTTTCATCGACTTCATCCCCAATATCGTCAAGTAATAACAGTTTAATAGGATCACCGGTGTCATCGAATAATTCAAATCATTCTCAGAAAAATTCCGGTTGTCGAGCGCATTCTGTATCTCGGTTTAATCATTTATTGAAACTTTGTGAAATTATGGGTCGAGTCATACAGAATGTATATGCTATTAGAAGTGCACATGTTTCTATGACAACCGATACTGTTCTGTCAATTTTGGACTCTTCTCTTACTTCATGGTATATATCTTTACCTCCACATTTACGATATAATCCTTCTTCAGATCAACCTTCAGATCCACCTACACTTGTTCTTCACATACTTTATTATTCTGCTTTAATGTTATTACATCAACCTTATTCAGCAGGACAACAATCATCACATAATATATGTTCTCAAGCCGCAAACGCTATTACTGAGATAGCGGAAACATTAATGAAACGTAATATATTAAAGCATTCATTAAATGTTGTTGTCTATTGTGTTTTCACTGCTAGTGTTATTCACACATATAATGCTACACAAGAAGATAATTCTATATCTCAACCCGCAAAAGTTAATCTTGCTAAATCAATAAATGTATTGAATGAATTAAAAAATATTTGGCCAACAGCACACAAATATGTTGATCTTTTAAATGGATTAGTAGATTTAAAGGATGTACAATTGGATTCTTCTTTAAGTCTAAAAGGCAGCACAAATACAGATGGATCTCGTGGGTCGAAGAAACGTGTAAATTCTTCCAATAATACAAATCAACAACCTCCACCTGTCGGAGTTGTTGATAGACATGTGAGGCAGGCTCGATACCGTGCACAATATAATCAACCTACGTCAGAAAATGACAATAATAACGATAATTCTACAATAACACCGCCTCCGCAATTTAATACAGTTCCCTCCTCAATAAACCCATCTACAACCTACCAACGATTACCACCGGTATTAAGTTTTAATCACGCTCCAATAACATCTCAACCTACACAATTTAGTGCAACACAGTTTACTCAGCAACAACCTGCAAGGCAACAGTTAAGACATGATTTACCTGAGTCAGCACAAATGTTCAATAATACTCTTGGATTTAGGTACATGACATCAAACACGAACGATCCACAAAATCAACCAACAATAGGTGATACAGATCCCTACGCTGCTCCAGGTATGGCAACAAATAATAGCGTCGGAAATAATACATTTGAACCGTTAAATTCCGGGTTTTGGGGTATTCCTCACAATGCAAATCTAGATGATTGGACATCATTTCTTGGATCACAATATGCATCACCAACGTTACCCTCTCAACCTACAAATTTACCGATTCCAAGAATTTCTTCAATTTCTTCATCTGCAGGATCTTTATCTTCTTTACAACGACAACAACAGCAACAGCATGTATTGCTACATAGTGACGGGAATGATGTTAATATGTTTGCTGATAATCATCCGCTGATATCAGATGTTATGGGGATAAGTAATAATGGAGGCAAGCGAGTTAACACATTCAATAACTCTAATACTGGTGGAAATAACGGTGGTACAGGAGACAATTCAACTGTGCCTTTACCATATTATTAATTAACACAATGTACGTATGAGATTAGATCGTACATCGTTACGCATTTTGCCCCGTTAGAATTCGACCGATTTTTTAATGAACGTTTAATCCGTTTAATTATTGAAAAGGAAGGAAAATAATTGTATAGTTAATACAAGAAAATTAAGTATTGGACAGGTATTTCGGGCTAAATGTGATCATATTACAGAACATTGTTAATATTGTTGATTGAATATTAAAAGTCTTCCCTTTAGTTTTAATAAGAAATGGTGTACGTGACTATACTATACTGCACTTGATAAATGAGTTTCGGACGGGAAAAGGTATAAAAAAAAATAGCTTTTTGTTTTTTTACCGTAAAGCAGCAGAACATTTTGACAGAAAAAAAAAGATAGCCAGTAAAAAGAAATGTTTTTTGGATCAGAATGCAAATTCGGGAAGTATAATTAATTAATTCATTTAAGATTCCAAAAAAAATATCTAACATTCATAATTTCGTTAACCAAAAAAAAAAACATTTTAAATATATATATTTTTTTTCGGGTTGGTAATCTTTAGTTGTGAATAATAATGTGCTGTATACTATTTTTTTTTTAAGTGTTTTTTTTTTATAAAAAAAAAATTGAATAAATAAATTATTAAAATCAATTTTATACTAATTTAATAATCAATTAGATGAAATTATTTATAGATTAAATATACAACATGCAATATTTTTAAATTATATTTTGAAGACTGCATGTGTATGTAATGAGAAAAGATTTATTTATAAAATGTGATTATACAAAATATATATATATAATATAATAATCTTTAAAATTACAAATGTCTATCTTTTTTTTCCTTTTTCTTTTTCTTTTTAATTTTTATAAAAAATGATATCACCTTCATCTTCAATAAATTTACAAGAAGCAAAACTTCTCCAAAGTGCTTCAAATATTGGAGTATCATCAAAAATATAATAATGTCCAAGTACTTTTTTAATATGAATTGTAGCTTCTTCAGCATGATAATGAGGCATTGTACTAAATAAATGATGGGCTACATGAGTTGAAGTAATTCTATGAAAGATTGAATCAAGAAAACCAATATGACGATCAACTGTAAAATAAATAAAATCAGTAAATAATCTTGACAAAAAGAAAGAAAATAAAAAAAAAAAAAGAAAAAAGTAAATATTCACCTGTACAAACTGCACCACGAACAAAATTCCATTGATTTTCACGATAATGAGGTAATTTAGGATCAGTATGTTGAAGGTAAGTGATTAAGACAAGCCAATGATTTACAATAAAGTAAGGAATCAAATAATATTTAACAACGGTAATAAAAGAATAGATATAAGAGAAATAAAAGATAGCTGATAAACCAATAATGATACCAATGTCTGAAATAATGATATCCGTAAAATTTTTAGGATCAAAAATAGGTGAATTAGGATTAAAATGATTTGCCCAACGACCATCATAAACTTGACCAGAACAATTGAATATTAAATATAAAGGCCAACCAAGTAGTTGTTGACCAATTAAATTTATTAAAGTTATAAAAGGAGTGTCTTCAAGTACAGAATGATTCATTTGCGGAGTATCTACATCTTTCAAAGGTAAGCTTAAAAGTGATCTAGTTTTAGGTACAAAGACTTGGTCTTTATCCACGTGACCAGTATGTTTATGATGTTTTGAATGAGAAATTCTCCATGAATGATAAGGAACTAATAAAGCTGAATGAAGTATAAATCCAACCGTATTATTAATTTTTTTCGAAGGGGAGAAAGCTTGATGACCACATTCATGAGCAATCACCCAAATTCCTGTAGCAAAAGCCCCACAAAAGAACCAATAAGTTGGCCATGCTATATATCGTAAAGCGAGTGGTAGATGAGAGTCTATAAAAGTAGCAGCATAAGCTAAAGCCCCAACGATAGCCAAATCTTTAATAGTATAACCAAATGATTTTAGTGTATCTCTTTCAAAACAATGTGGTGGTATTGTTTGTCGAAGTTCTTTAATAGTGAAATTTGGTGGTAAATAATCACGTTCAAATTTTATTGCAGATGATGATTGACGATGTGTTAATTCAGATTGAAGCTTTTCTGTGTTAGGTGGTGCCATATTCTTTTTAATTTATATACAAATGAAATTATAATGAAAATGATAATCGAAAAAAAAAGAAAAAAGAAAAAAAATTTTTTTTTTTTAAAATCAAAAAATGAATTCGAATCAGTTTATTTTATACTTTCCCGATATATATATATATACATATTTATTTTAAAATGAATGTAAGGAGTACATTAATAAAAGACAATCTTTTTGAGCCCCAAAAGATTCATATCTTGAAAAATTTTCCAAATTTGATATACATTAAAAAAATTTTTTTTTGATTATCCCCAAAAATTGGCTAATTAACTAAATCGTACTATTTGCATTATTGAGTATTTTGCGTCATTTTGGGAAGAAACAACTGATTTTCGTTTGCATATAAACATGTGCACTCGGAAACTAAAAAAAAAACGTGGCATAATTATAAAAGTAAATCACAAATTGTCACATGAAAATGAAATTGATAAACTATTGTTTATCGTAGACTCGTAGTACAATTTAATTTTTTCAATATTAGACAATATCTACTATAACCAAAGAATAGTAATATTCTTTTAATATTCTCAGATAAAAATGAATCCAACTACCGAGATCGATCGCACCATATTTAATCTAGCTAATCTCTACATCTAAATTAGGCGTAGTAACCTGTCAATTATATTTTAATCCAAAATTGTGTGGCTGATTTTTGTGTGACAATATAATCGTTAGATAGATATGATATATATAGAAACGTGATTATAATGATCGAATTTTCTGCAATAAGTAAATCCCTTATAAATAAGTAAAACTCTCTTAATCTCTATATCCCCCTATGTTGTCTATTTGTTACCTTATGCAAACAATATCGTGTTTTTTTTCGCGCTTTAAAAAAAAACGAAACTTATTATTAATCACGTGATGTTACATATAGAGAATCGGAGAATTTGCATTCTATTCTTCTAGACTTTTCAAGTATCTCTTAATTATTGTGCCGCTAGAAATATAAAAAACGTAACAAATAAAACAAGAGAAAGAACTTTAAAATAACGTATCTTTTCGGTTAAAGATAAAATATGTAGCTAAATAAATATAGATATTGTCACTTTAATGGTTAAATAAAATTAATATTATGTTTTTTTTTTAATTAGACGTATAGAATTTATAAACAAGAAAATAAATATGATGAAATGGTTTTATAAATGTTATACGAAAAATCTAACTAAATTAGTAAATTAAAGACCGGTTTTTCCCAATGTTTCACATTGTGGAATGACAATATGAAATAAATCCATGTATGGTAACTTTGACAATTGGATTTTTTTTTTCCTTTTCTCTTAATTTTTTTTTTTTTAAAAAAAGGAGAAATCTACGTTTACCTATTTGAATTGGTTTACCGTAAATAAATTTACGTTGGGTGTTATGCAAATTTGAACCTCTAATTAATTGAATTAAAAAAATTTATCTCTTTATAGTAAGTTTTTATTTTTTTAAAGAAAAAAATAATTTATTTTATTAATGTACGTGATTTTTTTGAATTACTAAGCCAACATTCTTTTTTATCTGGATCTCATTTTTTTTGCAATTTTATCAGTTCTTGTTAACAAATTTGCAAAATTACTCTAAAAATCATTCCTAATTCCTAAATAAAAATTCTTTTATTAAAAAATGAAAAAAGTTCCTAGAAATTTTAAACCTTTAGATTTCCGTAGGTCTGTTACAAAAGATAAAATTTCGACACCTATTGCTATCCCAACAAAAGCACCCCCTTCAATTCTTCCTCCAAAAAAAGTCATAAAAGCATTATATGATTATGATGCGAATGGCCCTAAAGAATTATCATTTTCTAAAGGTGATTTCTTTCATGTAGTTGGTAATGAAAATGATCCAGATTGGTATGAAGCATGTAACCCTGCAACAAATAAACAAGGTTTAGTTCCTGTTTCCTATTTTCAAGTATTAGAAAAAGTTGGAAGAATGAGTGGAACTCCTTTATTAGATTCATCATATAATTTTGGTGTAACTGGAGGGAATAAACCTCAACCATTATATGGTATTGTACTTTATGATTTCGTTGCTGAACGTCCCGATGAATTGGATGCTAAAGCGGGTGAACCAATTATCGTAATTGCTCAATCAAATCATGAATGGTTTGTCGCCAAACCTATTGGAAGGTTAGGAGGTCCTGGACTTATTCCCGTATCTTTTATTGAAATAAGGGATCATTCAACTGGTAGAGCAATAGAAAATGTTCAAGAATTAATGGATAAATCGGTGGTTCCAAAAGTTGAGGAATGGAAAAAAATGACTCAAGATTATCAAGAAAATAGTATTTCTTTAGGTCGTTTAGATTTTTCTAAAGATGTAAAATTAGCTCCTATAGGAATGGATCCTGTTAATTTATCTCCAGTAACGTTTGATAAATTAAGTTCTCCTCAAGATTTTAATAATAATGATAATGATAATTATGATGATAATGATAATGTCGATTATTATTATGGTCAAGTTAATGGAGATGATAATAGAAATTCTGATGCTTCTGACACCTTACCTGTAAACGAAGGGTATATTAATGATATAATTTCGGCTTCAGTCGAATCATTTCATTTTAAAGATGACAAATATTGGTTCGTGGTTAGAGTCGAAATGGCTACAGGACGGTTTAGATTTTTATACAGATTATATGAAGATTTTTATGAATTTCAAATAGCACTTTTAAATAAATTTCGAGAGGAAGCAGGACGTACAGGAAAACAACGTATTTTACCATTTATGCCAGGTCCATTATCATATGTTAATGATATGATTACATCTCAAAGAAGAACAGATTTAGATGTTTATGTTAAAGAGTTGTTAACTTTACCAGGATATATATTGTCAGATCCTTTAATGAATGATTTATTCGGATTAAAAAGTGATGATGTGGAAACTGATAATCCAAGACAACCGGGTGAAGTAGCTGGTGAAAATGGAAGAGCTTCTTTGTTAGGTTTAGACTCCTCCCCAATTGATCCTACCCCTCCAATGTCATCTACGCAATATCAACCCTCATCTTATAACGTTTTTCAACAACCTAAAAAACAACCTTCTCTTAATGGAGGTTTTAAACATAATACAGGTGGCTCATCGTTCACTTCTGGAGGACAGCCTCCGTTTATGAGATCATCGCGTGTTCATGATGAAAGTTCGAATGATCCAACTTCAACACCTTCACCGACATATACATCCTCCCATAAAATGGAAGGTTTAAGAATTAAAATAGAATATCGTGGGGATTTATACGCTATTCTTCTGAGCAAAGATGATATGAATTTTTCGAGATTCCAAAAGAAATTGTTTGATCGGTTTGGTAATCTCGACGATTTAAAATATAGAGATAGCAATGGCGAATTTGTAAGATTACAAGATGAAGCTGCTCTGAATAAAGCTTTAAAAATTGGCAACAAGTTATTACTTTCTTTGGATCAATGAAGGAAAATTTATTAAGAAATGAAAAAAAAAATACACTAAAATAAGACATTAAGATAATAGGTAATGGGAATTATAAATAGAATGCTTGATGGTTGGTGATGATTATATGTACGATTTTTTTTTTTGTTCGATATTTCTTTTCATTCATTCAGAACATGTAGATATTTATTATTTTGTTACATGTAATTATGTATTTTTCATACACATTTACAACTTTCATTAATCACTTTCATAAATACATTCATACTCAAAAAACCAAAAAAAAAAAAGCTTTACTAGTATCTTTTCTCTTTCCTTATTATATATATATATAAATATTAATTGTATTGTTTTTCTTATTATTATCATTAAAAAATTATTTAGTTGTATGATAGATAGAATTTATTATTGTTGTTGTTGTTATATTTGTGATATATTATTATTATTGTTCATATTATTTATTTTTGGTAAGGATTTATTAGTTTTATTAATTATTGCTATTAAATTGAAAAGATTTTTTTTAAAAAAAAATAATTTTCTTTTTTTATTCAATTCTTCATAATAAGGGTTTCAAACTTTTTTTTTTTTTTTTTAATAAAGAATTATTTTTATCATCAAATGGTATAAAAGATATGAATTTAAGTTAATTGGTATACTATTTTAAGTATTAAATGGTTCATTCAATTTTACTATAAGAACTCGAATTAAAATTTTAACACTTAAAAACATGATTATCCGCTACCTTGTTCACTAGGCAATTCCGCAATCACATCATCATACTTATCACCAATTTTTTTACCACCAGAATCAGATTCATTTTCATCGGGTTTACCCTGATATTCTTTGCTCGCAGAATTAGCATCAATAAATTTATTTTCTTTTGGATCAAAAATTTGTGCTGGCTTAGCAGATTCAGCTAAAAATAAACAAATTAATCATTGAAGAAAATTCATTGTAAAACTTATGGTTGTAATTAATTGTAATAAATCAAATCATATAAACTTACAAGCTGCGGGAGCTTGACTATCTACCGTAGTAGGTGCATCATCAGGATCATATTCTTTTCTTGCTTCTTGATTTTCTTTATCCTGTAAATCAAATATTCCTTTAATATATATATATAATTCTATAAGTTAACCCGCTTGATACAACTTACCCTTGTAGCATTTTTGATAATAGATGCATCAAGTCCCGGTGGAGGTCGATTAACATCAGTTATGTTATCGATTTGTCCTCGAGAAATATGAGAAGTCTCTTCTTGTGATGATGATGATTGACGAATATTATTTCCGAATAATAGATTATTAATATTGGTCTTTTTGTTAGTCATTAATTTCGCATTTCTTGTAAAAATCTGATTGAGGGAAGAATTTGTCGAAATTTTTTTAACAAACATCTTTATATATAATTATAATTTTTTTTTTCTTTAAAGAAAAAAAATTCTTTCAAATAAAAAAATTTGGGGAAATAATAAATATTTTTTTTTATTTGCATTATTTAAAAGAAAGTCGAAAAGGAACTAAGTTTTAATTATTATATTAATAAGTTAATATTGATACATGGCGTAATTAACTAGACGTCATCATTATTTCACTATTACGCCACACACAAGAAAGAGATGGGCGTTACAACCGTCGAAAACTAAATAAGATATACACTAAAGAAAAATACGCATTTTTTTTTAAAATAACAATAATTTATATTGAAAATGATTGTCAAATACATAGAAATAAAAAAAAACTCTCACTATAACAAATATTATTATAGAACCTGAAATCAAAAACTATTTCATTTAAATCCAATTTAAACTTGTAAATAAAGATGTTTTATACAACACCCCTAAAATAAAAATGCAATGTTTTTGTTAATAATATAATGTTTATTGATTAAATTTAAAAATAATAATATTTTCTTAATAAATTTCAATATTAAATTATTATTTATACTGACTGAGGTAATTCGAATTTTTTTCCGTGTAATACTCTGTAGTAGAAAATTATTAGTAAAATTGCTTAATGAAATTTAATGCTTTGCAATATTTGGAAGTATGTATCAAAATACTTACTTTGTATAATAAATATAAAAGAAGTCACTATACAAAGCAGTTTGAATTACACCAGCGATCCATGCATATACTTCAACATGTCCATCAAATATATATCTCCATAACCAATTGCACAAATACAAAGCTCTATATCCTCCTAGTGCGAATATATAATGTGTAGTAATTGTTTCTGCTTCTCCCGTACGACTTAACATAAATAATTGTGGAAGAATTGCGACTGATTCAAGAAAAATCGAAAATGACCATAAAATCTTTAATTGTCGAATAAAAAAAAAATTAGTTTCCTCGTCAAAGGGTAATGCAAAAGAATAATCTTCAAAAAGAAAAATTTTCAATTTACCTCCATAGGTATAAAGTCATAATTAAATATTAAAGCCAATATTACACTTCCTCCTAATAAAAACTCTATTCTAAAAGTATCCAAAATGGGATCATACGTAGCTCGGAATTTATATTTCATTAAATACAAAATATAAATAGATGATGCAATAAAAAATATTTTCATTATTGTATTATACAATGAAATCCATGTTGTAAATAAGTCGAGATATCTTGTGACAAATACAATAGCATAAAGTAATTGGGTTTTAAATGAGATACCTATAAAAAGATTAAGATTAATTTTAAACGTGTATTAGTTTTTAAAATAAAAAATGCTAATTTTCCGACATAAGAGAATTTAATTTAATGTAATAAATAAGTCCTATAGATTTTTGTTGGAAATTCATTAACTTCCCATAAGTTCTTCTTTCCTCTAAGAACATTCAAACTTACCAGCACATGACCGCGTCTTTTGAATTTTTAAAAGTAAAATAAAAATAGACGCCAAATGCATTAAATCTGCTACAAGTCGGAAAATATTCATCTTTAATTATTTGTTATCTTTAAATTGAAAATATTTATATAAAATAAATAAAAAAGAGCTAATTTTCAATAAAAAAAGAAAAGATGCTAAGCTCGTTATTCACAAGAAAGCAAGAAAAGAAAGTTTTTGGTAATATGATTTTTGTATGAAGATCCGTTTTATGATTTTGTGATTTTATGCTATGATGATTATCCAATAATTTATTAGCAAATAGCATATTCTCATTTGATAAGGATTAACTTTATTAATAAATAATTTTATTAAAGAAGAACTATAACTTTTTTTTAATGACCATTCATCAAATTTTTGTTGAATATTAAAGATTTAGATCTCAAAGGATTATTTATTAAGGATCGAGTTTAACTGGAAAATTTCCTTCTTCTCTTTGAGTGTCCCACTTTGAAATCTATAAAGATGGATTTTTTTTAATATTTTTTTTTTTTTTTTTTAAAAAAAAAGTATACATATATTAAACAAAATTAAAATATTCCTCTCCTAGAATAATTAATAATTGTATAAATATCGAATTTCTTTCCTTTTGAACACTTACAAAATCATTAGGACACAAACTATGGTATGCTCTAAAAAATTGTTGACAAGGAGCAAAATCTTCTCCACGCGCTTTAATACACTTAAAATAATCTACATAATTTTGCCAACAATGTTTAGTTTGATTGGTATTTGGAAAGCGCGCGTCAAAGCCAGCTAAAAAATAAAACAATTAGTCTTAATAAAAAAAAGTCGGTTAACTTTTAAAAAAAGGAAAATAGTTCATTAGTTTGTACAGTTACCGGTACGAATGTTAATAGCTTTAGTCTCGGTTTCGCTGTTACAAAATTTACGTAAGTATTATAAGGAATAAAGTATAACTACATTCGTCTTAATACATACTTATCAGACATCGTTTTCAATCGATAGCAAATGTTGAATATGAAAAGTGAAGATGGTACATAAGCTAATAATTATTTTATTAAAAACTATGTACGACAGTGATCGGCTGTGGCGCATTATATTTAAGGCAGGGAGCTCAAGCTCTCACATTTCGAAACTGCGGTTAAAATTGTGGTTGTTTTCTGTTGACTCTGTCTAGCAAATATTATCCGCTTTATTGAGGTATATTCATAAGTAATTTTTAAATATGAGATCAAAAATATTTTGACAGTTTTTGGTTAATTTGACGATACAAAGGAATTCACATTCATATATGCTGCGGCATTAAGAATGAAAAAAATTCATTTATTTTTTGATTCTATGTATTAGCAGATCTATCTACCATTAATAAAATGAGGTTGAGATCAAAGAGAGATTCTATTAGCCTTCCTTCAAAAAAGCGTGAATCATGTTCAACAACTCCAGTTAAAGAGTCGTTGGAACAAATCACAATTGGTAGTTATTATTACGTAACAGTCAAAAATAACTTAGAGGATGAACAAAATTATCGAGTAGGAAAAGTTCTTGCTGTTAAATTTAGTGATGATAATGTTCCCGAGTATTATATTACGTACGCGTTTTATAATAGAAGACTTGATGAATGGGTTAAAGCTGATCAAATTGATACTAAAAGAGAGATAGATATCAAATTACCTAAAAAGAGAAAAATACATCAAGATAACGCGATTTCTGATGCAACTGCTATGATAATTGAAGATTCTCAAGATGATTTTTTTACTACTTCGGGAATTCATGTAAAAAACAAATTCTCACAGGGTGATTCATTTTATAGTCAAGAATCATTTACATTACAAATACCAGTTTCTTCAGAAGTGAATGATTATAGTGGTTCGAATTTTATATGTGATGAAGTCCCAAATTTAAGATGTTCAACTCCATCATCTTCAATCACATATGACAGTTCACCTTGTAGGATTAGTTCAAGCCCAAAAATAGTCAAATCACAAGTAATTCAGAATAATTCACAAATTACTTCTGGTGGTATGAATAATAAACCAATTAAAATACGTGTAAAAAATATCAAAGAAATTCAAATTGGAGAAGATCTGATTGAACCTTGGTATTTCTCACCATATCCTGAAGAATTTAAAGATGCACCTATTGTATATATTTGTGAGTTTTGCTTGAGTTATTACATGAGCGAATTTCAATTCAAACGTCATAAAACGAAATGTAATTTATTTCATCCTCCTGGAAATCAAATTTACAAGGATGAAGTAGAGAATCTCGCTGTGTTTGAAATTGATGGAGAAAGACAACAAACTTATTGTAAAAACTTATGCTTACTTTCTAAGCTGTTTCTTGATCATAAGTTACTTGTTTATGATACTTTACCATTTCTATTTTATATATTATGTTGCTATAATGATATTGGGTATTGTATAATTGGGTATTTCTCAAAAGAAAAATATAATATGAATAATAATCTCGCATGTATTCTTACATTACCTCAACATCAAAGAAAAGGTTATGGTAGATTCTTAATAGCATTTTCATATACAATATCAAAAATGCAAGATAAAGTTGGTGCACCTGAAGAGCCTTTATCAGATCTTGGTTTATTAACTTATCAGCAATATTGGATAGAAGCCATTACTGAGTTATTACTAAAAGCTAATGAAGCAAATGAAGAAATTTCGATTGATGATATTGCTTACCAAACTGGTATTGCTCAAAAGGATGTTCAATACACTTTACACTTGATTGGAATTTGTATCTATTTAGGACATCCTTGTATAAAAATATCAAGTGGATTAATGGAAATGGCTAAGAATTCAAAAGTAAAAAAGCATCGTACAATTAAAAGTGAGTGTTTTGATGAATATTGGGAGCCACCAGTTTATAATCCATCTCATTGTCGATTTCTTAATTGAAAGATGGAAGAGTGATTCAATAATATAAATCAGATTTTCATTAGGGTTTTATAGCTGAAAATTAATATGTAAACTTAGAATTTGATATAATGAATTAATTGCATCTAATTATCAACTAATACTATGTAGTTTTTAACAATTGAATAATAACAATAAAATAATTGCTTTGCATGGTCTTATTATACTTTCTTTACACTATCGCAACTTTTAAAATAAAATGATTTACAAACTTCAACAATTTAAATGAAAGATTAAATATAGGTTTTATGCTGAAGATAAAGAACATCCAGATTAATTTCTTATCTCTTCATATTCTTTCTCACCTTTCAATGCATTTTCAGATTTAAAACGAAAGATACTCAAGAAAAAATTTCTTTATAATTTCTGTCAAATATGTATTAAGTCACGGGTTAATAATAAGAAAAAGTCACACGTGTCTTTAATCTAAACTGGGCTATTCTTTTGTGCAACATGTCAAATTTTTGATAAAAATCACCAATCTATATGAAGAACTTATCAGTTATATAAAACAAGTGGTCAATTGGAGGAGAGATCAGGTTATTCTTACTTAGTCAGAAAGTAGATACAGCAGCATTTATAAAGCCTGTAAAAACTTTAGAGACCCGTTTACTTTTCAATCGCAAAATTATTTAAAAAATGAAACAAAGGTTTTCAGCACTAGACGTCCGGGCAACAGTATCCGATTTGAAAGAAAGGTATTTAAATTATAGGGGACATAATAATTCGCCCTGGATCTATTGTTATTTTAATATTCCTTTTTTTTTCAATTTATTAGGATTGTTGGCCTTAGGTTACAGAATGTTTACGATATCAACCCAAAAACTTATCTTTTCAAATTTTCAAAGGTGTTTTTCAATGCATTTCTTTATTATATTCAGGGCTTAGCATTTTATTAACTTTTTAAATTTTGAACAATTAAGCCAGACAAAAAGGAACTTTTGTTGATTGAATCTGGAATTCGAATTCATACAACACAATATTCTCGTGATAAATCGATGACACCTTCGCATTTTTGTATGAAGGTATATATAATATTAAATTATATCATAATTGATGTTATTTAAGATACTTAATTATGAGATCACGGTATTTCTTTATTAAGTTGCGAAAACACATTAGAACAAGAAGATTGACCAACGTCAGACAACTTGGTGTTGATAGAATTGTTGATTTTGAATTTGCGGGTTTTGGAGAGGGCACCACATATCATATTATAGCAGAATTTTACGCATCGGTAATTTATATTCATGTCTTTTCCTATGTCAAAAGTATATTTATGAGATTTGTAAGTTAACGTCAATCATTGATCGAAATAATCGAATTATAGGGTAATATTATTTTTACCGATCAGGATTATACCATTTTGGCTTTGTTACGTGTTGTTCAGCCTAAAGAAAATGAAAAAATGGCAGTTGGGCAAACTTATGATATTAGTTCTGTTGCACGTGTTACTGAACCAGTAACACGATCACGACTACAAAAAGCATTAACTACCTCATCTAGTAAAGAATCTAAAGAATCATTAAAAAAGGTTTTGAATAATAAATTGAGTAGGTTGAATAATCTTATTATATGTTAATACTACAAAACAATTCCATTTCTGATATATTGAATTGATTTATGCTTCCAATTATGTTGAATATAGGTTATGGACAGGCATTGACTGAGCACGCAATTCGTTTTGCTCAAATAGATCCTAATATGAAAGTTGGGACCATAGACATCTCCGATGGTTAGTTAATTTCGCATAATCTTTTACTTACGTATTATGGTGTATAGTAACGATATTTAATGTTTTAGATTCGGAGCATTTAATTGAATTAGAAAAAGGGTTTAAAGAAGCAGATCGAATTTTAGAAGAAATTGGAAATACTAAACAAAAGGTATGTTTGACAATATTTTATCTGGATGGAATTTACATTATGTAACAACATGGTTATTAAATTTTATCAAGGGATATATCATCATGCTTCATCATTCAGAACAAAATTCCACAACAGATGATGGTTCACAGCAAGAGGATTGGGAGACGTGAGTTTTTCTTATCACTTTTGAACTTTATTGATTAATCCGTTTCTAATATATCTTACTTTACGTGAAGTTATGATGAATTCAACCCCTACCTCTTTGAGCAACACAAATCTAAATCACACAAAGAATTTGATTCGTTTGATTTAGCTGTCGATGAATATTATTCCTCGATGGAAAGTCAAAAACTAACCCTTAAGCAAAGAAATCAAGAAAAGTCTGCGTTTAAGAAATTAGAGGCCATCAAAAAAGAACAGTATTCACGTGTTGAAAATCTTCAAAATTCTCAATTATCAAATATTCGCAAGGCTTGGTTGATAGAGAGCAATGTGGATACGGTAGATCAAGCGATTTTGATTATAAGAAACGCGATTGCTTCCGGAATGGATTGGAAAGATTTAGAAAATTTAGTGCTAGAGGAGAAGAAGAAAGGCACTCCTATAGCAGAAGTAATTGCTGGATTTAAGTTGGAAATAAATCAGATCACCTTATTATTAAGGTATTATAATTAAACCTATCTAAGTGAGAGAATTAGTATAATTCAACACTTTAAATGTAATCCTTAAAAATTTTATAGGGAACATGAAAAAGATGAAGCAGCTTTCTACGATTCGGCCAATACTGAATCTGAAGATGAAAACAACATATCTCAGTCAATAATACAAGAGAAAATTGATGTTGATATTAATTTAACTGCATTTGCGAATGCCAGAAAGTATTATGATATGAAAAAACAGTCTTCGCTTAAACAAGAAAAAACGTTAGCTGCTGCTGATAAAGTATGAATTATAACAATGTAAGGTTTTTAATTTTTAATACCAAAAAATTGTGTCTAATATCTTGTTGATAGGCTTTCAAAAGTGCCGAGCAGAAAATTAAACAAGATCTCAAAGAGACGAAAATTACTGCATCTATTAACAAGATCCGCAAACCTTTTTGGTTTGAAAAATTTGTATGGTTTATTTCTTCTGAGAATTACCTTGTTATTGCTGGACATGACATGCAACAAAATGAACTGTTAGTAAAGAGATACCTTAGGAAGGGTAATTCCGATAACTATTTCCCTATTTTTATACATATTCTTTTTTTTTTTCATTGCTAATTCAATAAATTTTTTATAGGTGACGTGTATGTACACGCTGAATTACATGGTGCTGCATCAGTAATTATTAAAAACCCTAATGAAGGTCAACCAATACCTCCAAGTACACTTTTCCAAGCTGGAGTCATGTCCGTTTGTCAAAGCAAAGCATGGGAAGCTAAAATAATAACTAGCGCTTATTGGGTTCATGCGGAACAGGTTTGTCATATATCTAATTTTAATAATTCGCCAAATATTTATTAACGTTATTTACTTTAGGTTTCCAAAACCGCTCCGACTGGTGAGTACCTCACAACGGGCTCTTTTATGATTCGAGGTAAAAAGAATTTCTTACCCCCTGTTCATTTGGTGTACGGTTTTGGTTTACTTTTCCGATTGGATGAACAAAGTATTCCAAATCATTTACACGAGCGTCGTCCAATAAGGAATGAAGAAGAAATAGACGAAGAAATTCAGGCATCGGAAGTATGTTATTATTCTTTAAAGTTATTTTCTCTTATTATGACGAAATGAATGATAAATTAACTTTTCCCAATATTATTATAGGGACAAAACATCAAAGATGATTTACTGAATGATAATTATATAAACGAAAAAGATATGAATTGTAAGTACTTGGATTATAATATACAATGAACGGTTTTTAGAATTTTATCCAGTTGCTGATTCCTGAATTATTTCATTGCCTAAAAAAGCTCAGGAAAAAAAAGATGATGTTATGGAATTTCGTTCAGATATTATATATCATAAGGTCAGCGGAGTTTCTCCCGAATTAGAGGAAGTACAAGAGCCACAACAGCAACGTTCAGATGAATCTAATGATGACATGTCTTCCGAAAAAGTGCGATCTGCTATTACTATAGACGACATGTCTTCCGAAAAAGTTCGATCTGCTATTACTATAGACAAATCCCTATGGGATAAATACAATTTAGATGAATATGGTGAAGACCAATATGAAATTGAAGGAAGTAATGAAAAGCCGGTACATATTTACTATAACTCTTTTTTTAAATTTTATTGATTCTTATAATTGAATCATATTTTATATGATAAAGACCACGAAAAAGAAATATATATCGGTAAAAGAAAAAAGAACGATGAAAAAACAAAAACAAGGCAAAGGAGATACCGACTCTGGAAGGATAGATAATAATCAGCAAATTAATAACAAAGATTCAAATATTGAGGATAAAGAAAAGGTAGAGTTTAATTTACTTAATTAGTTTTTTTTTCTTGATAAATATATATTTACGTTTTCCTTTTTTTTATCAGCAAGCGAAAAAGTCAACACAGATTCCACGCGGTAAAAAAGGCAAAATGAAAAAGCTAAAAGATAAATATGCTGACCAAGATGAAGAGGAAAGGGCAATTCGTATGGAATTGCTTGGAGTAATTATTTTAATTATTTCTTAAATCCTACTTTTTAAAATATGCGATGTTATTTCTTTATTAACTATTATAACGTAAATTCACACTATAATAGTCAAACAAAGCACCTAAAAACAAAGGAAAGAAAGGCAAAAAAGAATCTACAAACAAAGGTGTGCCAAATTCAGTCAAGGGAAGTAAACCAGAAAAAGAACAAAATTTTCAAAATAACCTTTCACAAGATCCAGAAGCTGATAAGGAAGATATTGATGAGGAAAAATTAGTAAGTATAAATGTTCATCATAAATACGTGAAAATTTATATTTATTAGACATTATTTTCTCTTATTATTATTTTAGGCTTCTGGTGTAAAGGATGAAGAAGAAGCTGAGGAAATCCGACAACTTCTTAAGGAAGAGAATATTACTGTATTGGAACCTGAAACAATGGTACTTATATTAAATCTAACTTCTAATAATATAATGTGGTATTTAATTCAGATTTTCATTTTATAGGAAAGTTTGACGGTATTAGACACTTTAACAGGATCACCATTACCTGAAGATAATTTACTTTTTGCTGTTCCGGTTTGTGCGCCATATATTTCTTTACAAAAATACAAATATAAGGTTAAATTAACTCCCGGATCAACAAAGAAAGGAAAAGGTAAGTATTATCAAGTGAATTTGATTTATATTTTATTGATTAATTACTTATCTTCCTCTTATTTTATTATTAAAGCATGTAAGACAGCAATATCATTCTTCTTAAATGATCCACAATTGACACCACGAGAAAAAGAACTTGTAAAAAGTATACCTGATACAGAAATGACTTTAGTAATGTTAGGTAAATGTAAAGTATCAGCCCCAAATATCGAACAATTTAAAAAAATTGCAAAGAAAGCCGCAAAGAAAGAAGCATCAAAGGAGGCAGCTAAGCTAGATGTATTAGACACCTGAAATCTTTCTGTCATTCATTTATTTGTTTTGTCATATACTTTATATACTTAAAATTGTACTAAATAAAAGATTATTTATAATTTAAAATGTATTATTATAACTCAATAAAACTTTTTGACTTGGAACTACAACATCACTATAAATTTACGCATCTTATAAAGAAATTAAATAAATGGACAAAGAAATCTAAATAACTTTTCCTTTTTTAAAATCAAACTCAATTCGATAATTCATTAAAAGCAATATAAGCAATTAATATCATACATACAATTAAAATTACATTTTTAAAATTTAGCACTCCGTCACTTCCCTGATAATTTTTGTTCTTAAACTTAGGTTTAGAGAACATAAAATAACTTGCAAATTTGAAGTCGGATTTTTTGTGCGGTGCGTATCTGCTTGCTAATAACTTTTCAATTGCTAATGGTGAACTCATTACACTTCTTTTGTGCGTGAATGTATCAAACGTGTAACGACCATGGTATGCTCCCATGCCTGACATTCCAGTTCCGCCAAATGGAAGAGCTGGCACTAAAACAAGAATGATAAGTTAAAAGACAGAAAGACAAATGAATAATTTAGCTTTGCGTAGTGCTTACCAGACCCTTGCAACATAGTATCATTAATAACTGTACCACCTGACCGTGTGTTATCCAAAACTATTAAAAAGAAAAGTAATTAAAGAAATTCAAAAGTAATGTTGCTCTCTCGTATTAACACTTACTGTATTTTATAGTTTTGTCATTTTTACTGAATGGATACAAAGCTAACGGAGTATCTCTTTCATTAATATACTTAATGGCATCATCAATGCTTTCAACCACAACAATAGGCAAAATAGGTCCAAATATTTCTTCCTGCATTAAACTATCGTCTTTGGGCACATCACTAACTACAGTTGGTTCAATATATAAGTCATCACGATCAGAGTTGCCACCAATTACTTTCTTTCCTCTGGTTCGTGAAAGTAGATTTGACAAGCGATCAAAATGTCGTTGATTAATTATACGACCATAATCTGGAGAATTTTGCGGATCGCTTCCATAAGAATCCTTGATAGCTTTGGGCATCTCCTTAATTAAAGCTTCTTGTATTTCTCGTGTACAAAGAATATAATCTGGTGCAATACATGTCTATTAATAAAGAATCAACATTAGTAGAATTTTTAAATATAAAAGATTTACCGTCTTTGTTTTGCTAACCTGCCCATTATTAAAAGTTTTACCCCAAATGAGTCTCTTAGCAGTGATAGGAATATCAACATCATTAGCTAGAATAACTGGACTCTTTCCTCCTAATTCCAAAGTAACTGGAGTCAAATGCTTAGCAGCTGCTGCCATAATAATCTTTCCAACAGCCCCGGAACCTGTGTAAAATATATGATCAAACCGATATTCTAATAAAGACATTGTCTCAGTGGCTCCTCCATTTACAATTCGATAAGCATTTTTGTCCAAATATTGTGAAGAGAGTTTTGTGATTACTGCAGCAGTATTAGCTGCCAATTCTGATGGTTTTATTACTGCAGTACAACCAGCTGCGATAGCCCCTACTAATGGTAATAATAAGACGTTCACAGGATAATTCCACGCTCCGATTATGAGCACAGTACCTAAAAAATAAATTTGAATTTAGCTTTTTATAATTAATCACGTGATACCATTTGTAAAAATTATCCGCGTACCAACAGGATCTTTTTTAATATGACACTTATTTATCTTAAACATCAAACTCGTTTTGACATATTCTGGAGAAGCCCATCTATCCAAATTATTAAGCGCTTCTAAACATTCTTCCCTAACAAGTCCTATTTCTGAAAGCATTGACTGAATTTTAGATTTATGCAGATCTTTATACAGTGCCTCACACAATTCATCTTGGTTTTCATCGAGTAAATTATATAATTGTTCGAGTTGTTTTTTACGATATCCCAGTGGTTTTGTAAGATGTTTAGCAAAGGAAGTTCGAAGATCTTCTATGAGCTATTAAATAAAATGTTTAACGATATTAATTAATTTATAATATTAATTGAAAAAAAAGAAACTCCTTACCTGAGGAAATTCATTAACGTCATTAAATTCCAATACCATTTTTACGAAATTTCAAATTTTTAATGAAAAGAAATAAGCTGGGTTTCAAGGTCAATCCGTTTATTTTAATTAATTGCTGATCCGCATGTGATAGAAAGTGTTTCTCAAACTCTTTGATGAAATTATTTTTTATTTTTAATGACTTCAAACCGCTCCATGAAGATAAATTTCAAAGTAGCACCCATCTCTATATTGTGTGGATACGACGTATTATAGAAAAAAAAAAATATTCCCTAATCAGCAATTAAAGTTTAATTTACAAGTGGGAGCCAATTATAATAGTTTTTAAATGATTCATTTACAATAAATTTCCTATTCCTCCAATAATAATGGTCCAGTGTGATCACATATACAAATTTCGTATTACATACCAAATTTCCTTAATTCTTTAATTTAGGCCTAAATTAGAGTTCTTAGGATTGTTGTATTGTAATATTGGAATTGGAAAGGATTGAAAGTTACAATTCCAATGAAAAGTCATTGGAAACTTTCAAGGACGTCACTGCTTTCAACCACTTTTCGACTTTTCGTGAAGACATCAGTTTCAGACAAAAAAATTATTATTGATAAATTACAATGCTAAAATAAACATGTCAGGCTGATTATTTAAAACTTGAATATCGGGAGAATATTGCGCCTTAACCACATCTCCTATCTTTGATGCGATATTATTATCAAATTCGATATTTGTTACGAAAAGAATAAAAATCGAGCTTGAAAAAGGTTCAATATAATGGGATATGGTTTCGACATTCGTTACACCCATATGAAGAGTAACAAACTTAAGGTTGTGTGCCGTAAGTATTGATTATTATATTTCGAATTACAACCTAAGCGGGTTGTAATATTATAAACATAAGTTGTAATTTGGTTGTAAATACTATGCTATTGTGGTTAACTAAAAGATGATAATTCTGATTTACAATCATTATAATTACTTGATTTTTAGACTTACAACTATTTACGGCAGGCAACACTATAACAAACTACTCACGTATCAAAAAACGTTGTGGTTCCCACTTGTAACAAATTTTATTCCAGAAGTAACAAAACAATCAATATAAATCGGAAAAAAAATTCATTGTTTCAATATTTAATATTTATGCTTGCTATGCGCTCGAGGCAAGCTTGTGCGATTTACACTGTATGGATAGTAGCAGAGTTAATATTTTTTTGCATTCATTGAGGTTGTACGTTTTTAGTACAAGCCCATCGCATATTTTTTGTAATGTAATATACTATAAAATCAAAATTCTAATACTAATACATTACAATTAATGAGTAAAAAAAATTATCCAAATTATCGCACTTCTTTTTCTAAATCCTCTTCTCTTTCTAATTTTGTTATTAAATCAATTACTGCCTACTCATTACCTTCTTTAATCTTAAGACTTAGTTGTGTATTGAGAATCATATTTTTGAATATCACATTTGAAATGCTATAACGGAAGATTTTTTCAGTGATTGAATTGCATTCTTTGTTTACGTTTGCCGTAAAAAAAATTCAGGTAAATAAATGGTTTCCAAAACGGTAATCACGCAATTGAGTTATAAGATAAAATTTCAACCGTACCGTTTCATTGTAAATAAATGATTTCGCGAGCATTTCGGTGAATTTATTTATTGCGTCCCCAACTATAACTAAATGGATATTATTTTCTGCAGGACCTAAAACTAAGGTTGCCTTTTTAAATGGAGGTAATAACCAAATGATTCGTATCATTACAAAAATCTCTCGGATTAAAATTGTTCCTAATTTTCTCATATCTATATAATAATTGTTATTAAATATGTCATACCTGCACTACGGTATTTAAAACTAAATCAATAACTCTTCCAATCTTTTTATTGCGCACAATTGACTCAACAACTTCATAAGTGTTTTGACATATGTTTTAAGCCCACTCCTTTCGTAGGGTATTATTACATCAAAATTTTTGTAAATATAATTAACTTGTTAAAAACATGCACTAATAACTAATAAGTAATAGCATTCGCCACAAAAACTACTTTCTTGAGCAATGGGTGCTTCAACACATCCTTAGAAATTAAATAATTTTGGTTTAAATAATTTTTTTTTATTTTTAAAATGGTTGAAATTTTATGGAAAAAAATGTACTGAAAATTTATATAAACATTGTTATGATTTAACCAAAAAATTGTTACTAAAAATAGAGGAAAAAAGAGATAAATTGCATAAAATATTTAAATCTTTATAATTAATATAATATAAATAGTTCTTATAGGATTATATACAGTAATTTACAGGATTTTTTAAAATTATTAGTAATTTATAGTAAAATTAGCATTTTTAAGATATATAAAAGTTTGTCAAAATTTAATATATTGTAATCAATTTTTTTTTATTTAAAAACTAATCAATTATAACTTCTAAAAATATAATTAAAGATATAGTATTTTATATTGAGTTATTTAAATATAATTAATATGTAATATAATTATAAAAAGTTGTTATACTTTACATCCAAAATTTTTTTTATATTTTAAAACTATTTAACTATTTATTTTTGATATTTAAAAACTATGATATTTAGCTATTAAATAAAAAATTTTGAATGAAATTTATTAGAAACTTAGACTTTTTATGCAATTTGAAGATTATTAAGTATTAAAAAAAATCTAGTAAATTATTGTAAATTTCTATATAATTATTAACTTTATTTATACCATTTTATTATTTTATTTTAGATATTAAAAGTATTATTTGAAACTAAAATTAATGAATTCAATGAAGCTTATATTATTACTATAACTATAATTTTAGCAGCAAAAATCCAATAACAACATCGGTAAGATATTCATAATATTGGTATTATTACAGAACTCCACTTACTTATAAGATAGGTTACCTCCAGATCTAAAGTAAAAATCATATATAAAATTCTTTGCAGATCCTACTATAAAAGGAAATTTTATATTATATTGTTATGATTTTTTTCTTTTTTAACTAATTAACCAATAGAATTTAAGAAAAAGTAAAGTAAAAATCATTAGTAAAAGGCCAATTTTTTACAGTAATCTTTATTATAAGTAAGTGGGTTCTGTTATTACATTCTGATTACATTTTTATCTTTTATCTATTCATTTACTAAATATAATTGCTAATCAAAAGGTTATGTATCATTTTAAATTCTTCTTACATTTCACTTTTCTTATATTTTAATAAAGAATATATTATATTTTCAATAAAAATGAAGTTAAAAAAGTAATAACATAAGCAAACATTTCAGATAAATCTTAATTAACATATCTTTTGAAAATTTAAATTTTACTAATAAATATATAATTAAAAGTTACAGAAATAAGAACTATGCAAATTTTACTCATTATATATATAAAATTTTAAATGTATATAAATTTATTAATACTAATTAAATTAAAATTTTATGCATGTATAAAAATCAATAAAAAGTAATAATAATTTTTAAAAATTTAGCAATACACATTTTTTAATATATGTCTTTATAATAATTATTTGGTATATTTTAGCAACTGAAAAAAGCTTATCAATTTATTATTATTTTCTTTTTTTATATTGGAATTAGATAGAGTAATAGACAAGTTGCATAATACTATCCTATATTTATTAAAATTAGATAAATTTTCTAAAGGTTTATTAAATCTTAATTCTTGAACATCTAATTATTGGATTTCCAATTGGATTTTGACCAATATTTTTCTGATCAACTTATAATTTATTCAATTGAGAAGTACAATATTTACAGACAATCTAATTAGCTTGTTTAACTAATTAATCCATGTATATTAGCATAATATAAATATTGTTGATTAAAAAGAGATATATGGAGTGTTAGTTAAATGATTTAAATTAATTGTAAAATGAAATATAGAAAATTTATTAGTATAGATAATTATCGATATTAGCATAGGATATCGGTATATAGAAGTCTAACTGTATATATAATTAATAAAGTTTTAAATCAAAATTAAATGCTAATTTGTAAATATACTTCTGAAATTTATAACTGTTATATAAATAAATAAAACAGTTCTGCCAATTAGATATTCTTTAACAAATTTTCAAAGATTCTTAAGATTCTTTTAGAAATAAAAGATATTTTTCTATAAAGTTCAAAAAATCAATTTTTTAAAATTTATAATTTCTTTACCAATAGCAAATCTGAATTTTTTAAAAATATTATATTTTATTATACCTTACTATATATTAGTTTTAGAAAAATAAAATTACCACCATTCAATAAAATGGATTAAAAAGTAGGGTTATGCAATTTTTTTGGCATTTAGTAGTCCAATTTTGATAAACTTTTTTCTTTGTTTTGTAGTTTTTATTAAGCTCTATAATTTTAAAAAAAATGTTTATCAAAATTGTACACTTCTATAATTACTAGATGTTGAATTATCGAAGTATCATCTCCTCCAAAATTTATTATTAAAATAATGCCCAATTTCTTACAAATTAGTTCTTAAAAAATATCTTCACTGTTTTATAATAAATATTATATAAATTTATTAAAAAGCAACATTTTTAAACAAGCATATATTTTTGTTCATCCAGAATAGTATTTGTTTAAATTTAATACCAAAAATTTAAGGAATACATCAAATTAAGATGAAAAATTGTTTATCAGTTATTATTTGAAATCAATACTTAAATTTATTAATAAAAAATAAGTTATTTAAAGTACAATAGGTGTAATTTATATTTACAACTTTCAGTAAAATAAGAAAATTATTCATAGGTACTGATAAAAACTTATTTAGGAGCAGCTAATCTTCTGGCAACTTCAATAATAGAACGAGTTGGCCGTCCTAAAATAAAAGAAAAAAAAAAATTTCAATAAAAAAGGATATCAATAAACAAAAAAAATACAATATGGTTAAATAAATACCAGTTGCGCCTTTAACATCATAACAAGAATCTTCACTAGTAATCATGACACCTGCCATATCAATATGAGCATATCTGATTTTATTAATCTCATCAGCATCCTTATCAATAATATTTCCTTCGACTACATCATCTTTTTTTTCTTTATCAATAGAAGTAATATCCTTGCCTACAGTTCCTTCATCACCTAATCCATAAACAAACTCTTTAAGGAAAATAGCAGCAGTACATGCACCCCCATATCTGCTACCGCTAGCATTAATGTAATCTGCTACATCAGATTTAGTCATAGCTTTCAAATAGAAATCATCAAGTGGCATTCGCCAAAAATTATCATTGGTTATCTTTCCTGCTTCCAAAAGCTCTTCCCATAATTTGTCAGAATTAGAAAAAACTCCAGAATATCTATCAGCACCAAGAGCCACTGCCATTGCACCTGTCAAGGTTGCAATGTCAATAAGACTATGAGGTTTAAATGTTGAACTCGTATAATATAATGCATCAGCTAAAATCAAACGTCCTTCAGCATCTGTATTATCAACCTATATTAATGTTATAAGTGATGTTATTTCTGACATACTATTAATAAGGTAAATAAAATTAGACTAATGGATCCATACCTCAATAGATTTACCATTCATAGCGATGATTACATCTCCCGGTTTTGTTGCATGACCAGAAGGTAAATTCTCACATAAAGGAACAGCTACAACCACATTTATTGGCAATTCAAGTTTTGCTATACCATATAATGCAGCTGATACTGCCGCACCACCACCCATATCTATCTTCATTTCAGACATGTTTGCGGAAGATTTTAATGAAATACCACCACTAAAGTTATCAATGATATTTTTATAAATAAACAAATAAAAATATTTTAATGATATAATGTAAGAATTATAGAAACTTACGAATCAAATGTGACACCTAAATTAAAAAAATACATATAAATATAGGTCATACTTTGATGAAACTGAAAAAAATGACGAACATAAAATCATGAAATCATAAAATCATAAAATCAGTACCTTTTCCAACCAAAGCCAAAGGTTTATCACCTTCTTTTCCACCTTTATAATGAATTTCCAAAAACTTTGAAGGTTCATTTGAACCTCTACCAACGGATAGGAAAGAACCCATTTTTTTTTCTTCAGCCCATTTTTCATCTCTAACAATAACTTCAACTTTCGGCAGATCTTTTAAAAAAGATTTTACATTTTCAGTAAAAATAGTAGGTGTCATATGATTTGCTGGAGAATTTCCTAATATTCGAGCAAAATTTTGAGCATCTGCATAAATTAAACCAGTCTCCCATGTGAAACCTTGTGCTGATGACGAAGAACCAAATGGTGAAATCTTAACAGATTCTTTTTTATTTTGAATAGATTTTAAATTATCCGGTTTAAAAAGACCGAGAGTTGCACCTTCGGATGCACCTAATTAAACAAATGATAAAATCAGGATATTAACAGAAACTTGAGTTATATTTTTCATCGGGTTTTATGTATCATGTGGCGCACAAAGAAGTTACGTTTTTGATAATATACCAAAACTTTAATTTATGCATAGAAATAGGACAATAATAAGAAATAAAAATACCGTGTTCATTAGTCATAACATCAATCGCAATATTCTTAGCTCCTTGATCACGTAAAGAACGAACACCTGCAGCAGCCTAAAATTTTAAAAATTTGTAGTTACGCAACCGTTTATCATGCAAAATATAGTAACAATAGAAAAATATTTAATAAAATATACCGCAACACGAGCTTTATTCAAAGATTCTTTCAGACTTTCGGATTTAGGTCCCAAATTAACTACGGCAATTTTTGATGGTAACCCTTCTTCCCTACCAATTCCATATAAAACTCTTACTTCACCCAATTTTCCTTTAACTCCAGCACATTGAAGTTGTTGTTTAATAGTTTGTTGGACATTATTTGAAACTTCTTTTGATGCTGATTCAGATAATGATCCATCTTTATAAACACCCAAAACCAATCCATCAAAATTTGCGAGTTTATTGCTCATTGTCGTTGAATTAAATCGATAATGATTTATATTGTTAAAAAAACAAACTTGTTTTCCTAAATAGTATGATAATTTTATATTTTTTTTATAAAGATTTGTTAGAGATATTCGAAACATTTATAATATAATGAATTTTTTTAATTATGACATATATAAATTAGATTGGTTAATCTTTTCTCTTCAAAGAAAAATCAAATTTTACCTCTGAAATTCGGAGAGAGAAAAAACAAATCTAAACGGATAGGTTGAAGAAATCTGCTCATTTTTATACCTTTAAGATTAATATAGTTAGATTTATATTATCAAAAATATTAATAAAACTATATATAGATTTTTTTCAAAAGGTCCATTTATAATAAAGTTCATTAAGTTCATTACTCGATTTGACAATTTGACAATCATTTTAAGAATACGATAATCTTATCTTATAATCAAAATCATTGATTTCTTTAATTTATACAATAAAATAAGTAAAAAAAAAAAAGAAAAAAACATGATTTTAAAGTAAGGGGTATTAAGATTTATGTATCTTTGATCCATAAATATACTTTGTGAATATAATTAAAATAAGTCAAAGATTTATTATTGAAAGAAATGTTTTTTCAAGAATATCGTTTCAAAAAATCATTAAATGGAATAATAGTTTCGTTCTAAAGAAGGTAAAATTGACAAATTCTATTATATCAAATGTAAGAGGTACTATTTAATGATATAAAGTTGATAAAATAATTATATAATTTATACAATTTGAAATCTACTTATCAATACGATCTCAAAATTTGAAGGAATCGGCGACGGAGTTTTTGTATTTCCATTCTGTTAAACCCAATTTGTGATAATTAATTTACATTGACTATCAGAATATGTAGATTTTACTTTTCTACTTTTCGAAGCAAATTACCGGTTTGCCGTAGGGATTTAAGTGGTACATATTATATATATATATAATATATTGGATTATATTAAAAACTCGATATAACGATAAAATTTTACTTTACCACTATAAAAATATCTGTATAATTTGATATAACGATATTAATATATCGTTATATCGGAGTTGTAAGATAATTGCTATGCGATATAACGAATTTCACTATAAAGTGATTTTTTAAGATTTTATATTTATAATATTTATATAGAAAAAAAGATTTTGATTAAGAGTAAATCTCTTACTGTAAACTTTTATTCTAAAAAGAAAATTTACGTCCGTTTTTATTTTTGCAATTTTAGTAGCAGTTTTGATTCCAGGCAAACAAGATCACATTTGAAATTCTAATTGGAAAATTTTATGCTATCCTACAGCCATACAAGTGATAAGTATCTCGCAAATAATCAAAAACTCAAAAATTAACTAAGTAAATCCGATGTTTTTGAAAAAACGTATCGATTCGCAATTAAAAATCAGGAAAATTCAGTTCGTCGTCATTACTGCTTATATATGGAGATTTATGAGATCATCTTTCATATAAAAAAAACGATTTGTGGATGATTGATTGTTGTTATATTAACTTCTATAAATCAAAAGTTTAGTGTTATCGATCAGTTAGAATTAACCGTGTGGATTTATGTTAAAATAGGGCTTAAGGTTAGGTTGTTCGCAATTATTTACCGCTGCTTAAAATATCCCCATTGAGAGTATCCCTATTGAGAGTATCCCTATGTAAAGTTATAGGTCATTTTAATTTCTAAAAATTCGGCATATACTAATAACCTCACTGGTATAGTGGCATTGTCAGTTTTTGATGCAGTGCGGATGATATAGTAATCATCCAACGATAATATTATCTGCTTGACGGAACCGTTCATGCAATTTTTACTAATTTTATTATTATGCTAGTACATAGTAATATGAGATACCGAAAAATGTTAAATCTGCGGATAGGTGACGGTAATTTATATTATACCTGGGGGCATTTCTAGAAGTGTATGAGTAAATTATATCTCATAAGAAAACGCATGTTTCCTATAAGAAGCTATGGAATTCTCAATGTGAATATTTAAAACAATAAAAAGAAACACGTAAATTCAAAAGTAAGATCTAAGAAAGCTTGAACTGTATGATGATAGAAGAGTGGCATATACCTAAAGTTTAGTATATTGAGATTTGGACTTATAATTAGTGAACAAATAGTGTTTTTTTTGCACTGAATAAATTGTTCCCAGATTACTTAATAAATATGGAACGCGGAGGATTATGGTGGTTTGTGTCAATTAAAACCAATACCTAACTCTAAGGCTCTAGTCCTACGATTAAAATTACTTACTTTCTGTGATTAAACAGGTTCGAATGAATATTAATATTAGTGTTCGGTTGAGATTTTTGAGATATACATTAAATTAAGATAAAAATTGAAATCAATACTTAAAATTTATTAAGTAAGTTGAGTGAACTTCATAAAAGTACAATAAGTTTATATTTACAGCTTTCTATGAAAGTAGGAAAATTATTCATACGTACTGACAAAAAATTTATTTATAAACAGCTATCCTTCTAGCAATTTCAATAATAGAACGGGTTGGACGACCTAAAGTAAAAGAAAAAAAAATCAATAAAAAAAGATATCAATAAAAAAAAGAAAAAAAATACAACTGAATAATTACCAGTTGCGCCTTTAACATCACAACAAGAATCTTCACTGGTATTCATAATACCTGCCATATCAATATGAGCATATCTGATTTTATTAATCTCATCAGCATCCTTATCAATAATATTTCCTTTGGTTACATCATCTTTTTTTTCTTTATCAATAAAAGTAATATCCTTGCCTACAGTTCCTTCATCACTTAATCCATAAACAAACTCTTTAAGGAAAATAGCAGCATTACATGCATCTCCATAATCACTATCACTACAATTAATATAATCTGCTACATCAGATTTAGTCATAGCTTTTAAATAGAAATCATCAAGTGGCATTCGCCAAAAATGATCATTTGTTATTTTTCCTGCTTTAAAAAGTTCTTCCCATAATTTGTCAGAATTAGAAAAAACTCCAGAATATTTATCAGTACCAAGACCCGCCATTATTGAATATGTTAAGGTTGCAATGTCAATAAGACTATGAGGTTTAAATGTTGAACTCGTATAATATAATGCATCAGCTAAGATTAAACGTCCTTCAGCATCTGTATCATCAACCTAAATTTTAAATTTTATAAGTGATGATATTATTATCTGATATACAAAAAGGTATAATTAGATCAAACAAATCCATACCTCAATAGATTTACCATTCATGGCAATAACCACATCTCCTGGTTTTGTTGCATGACCAGAAAGTAAATTTTCACATAAAGGAACAGTTACAACCACATTGATTGGCAATTCAAGTTTTGCTATACCATATAATGCAGCTGATACTGCCGCACCACCACCCATATCTATCTTCATTTCAGACATGTGTTTAGAAGGTTTGATTGAAATACCACCGCTAAAGATATTATGGTATTTTTATAAATAATCAAATTTATTAAAATATTTTTCTGATAAATTGAAAACTTACGAATCGAATGTGACACCTAAAATTAAATATAAATATAGGTCATAATTTATTTTAAAAAAAAAGCATATATATATAATCATAAAATCATAAAAATCGGGAAATCGTAAAATCTATACCTTTTCCAACCAAGGCCAAAGGTTTATCGCCTTCTTTTCCACCTTTATAATGAATTTCCAAAAACTTTGAAGGTTCATTTGAACCTCTACCAACGGATAGGAAAGAACCCATTTTTTTTTCTTCAGCCCATTTTTCATCTCTAACAATAACTTCAACTTTCGGCAGATCTTTTAAAAAAGATTTTACATTTTCAGTAAAAATAGTAGGTGTCATATGATTTGCTGGAGAATTTCCTAATGTTCAAGCAAAATTTTGAGCATCTGCATAAATTAAACCAGTCTCCCATGTGAAATCTTGTATTGAATTTAAAGATCCAAATGGTGAAATCTTAACAGATTCTTCTTGATTTTGAATAGATTTTAACTTATCCGGTTTATAGAGACCAAGAGTTGCACCTTCAGATACACCTAATTAAGAAACAGGCGTTATATTATTCATAGTGTAATATTTTATTTTTTAACGATATCGTGGCAGACAAACGGATAACTTTAAAAGTTACAAAAGTTACGTATTTGAAAAATTATCAAAAATGTAATTTATGCGTAGAATAATATATAATTCTTCGCGCTCTGCTCTCGGACAATAATAAAAAATAAATATACCGTGTTCACTGGTCATAACATCAATCGCAATATTCTTAGCTCCTTGATCACATAAGGTACGAACACCCGCAGCAGCCTACAATTTTAAAATTTGTAGTTACGCAAACATTTATCATGTGACATATAGTATAACAGAAATAAAAATATACCGCAACACGGGCTTTATTTAAAGAATCTTTTAGGTTTTCGGATTTAGTTCCCAAACTAACGATGGCAATTTTTGATGGTAAACCTTCTTCCTTGCCAATTCCATATAAAACTCTTACTTCACCCAATTTTCCTTTAACTCCAGCACATTGAAGTTGTTGCTTAATAGTTTGTTGAATATTATTTGAAATTTCTTTTGATGCTATCTCAGATAATGATCCATCTTTATAAGTACCCAAAACCAACCCATCGAAATCCGAGAGTTTATTAGTTGAATTAAATCTATAATGATTTATATGATTATGATTTATATGGTTAAAGAATAAAATTTGTCTTCTTAAATAATATGATGATTTTAAATTTTTTTGACAAAGATTTGTTAGAGAGCGAAACATTAATAATAAATAAAAAATAATGAAATATGAGTAAGGAAAAAAAAAAATTAAAAATTTCATAGTAAATAAATTGGTTGATCCTTTCTTATTACGGGTAATAAAAAAAATTTTTGATCTGTTTGACATCAAAAAAAAAAAAAATACCTTTGAAATTCGAAGTGAGGAAAAAATAATTCTAATGGGATTGTGACTCCACATTTTTTATATTATTTCCTATAAAATTTATTATATACTGATCTAAATAGATACTTAAATCAACTTAACTGTTATCTTTGGTGCGCAAACATTATTTTAAATATTTGATTATAATTATATACAAAAATTTGTATAATCGTCCTACAAATTCATTTATCATTTCTTTTTCAAATTAACATAAATCCTATCCTAAAATTTAAAATGGATAAATTAAATATTGATATATTATATGAAATTATTAAATGGCATTTTAATTATGGAAATTGGTATGAATTATTAGAGAAAAAGTTAATAAATAAAAAATGGAAACGAGCTGTTGAGGAGTATGAAAATTGTAATATAAAAATAAAAGTTGATGTAAAAATGATTCAAGATGGATTTCCAGATAAATTTAAAATAATTGTTGGGGTATTTAAAAAGGAATATAATAAAAAATATGAGAGAATAATATTTCATAATGAAGATGAGCATAATTATGGAATAATCATAAAAGGGGAAAGTTATGATATGACTTATTTACCAAAAGGGTATAAATATCATTGTAATGATTGTGAAAATAAGGCATTAATGTGTAATAATTGTTTCATAAGAAGAAATAATAGACATATGTTCGTTTATGGAAAAGAAATAGAATATGATTGGGATACAAACGAGTATTTAGTAAATAAAGAATTAGATAAAAAAGATAAATTAATTATTAAATGTATAAGATGTTATTATGAAGAAGATTTGGTAGAAGAATTTGAAAGTTTTGATTTTGGAGAGTCTAGTATTGATAAATATACATATATATTTAGACGGTTAAGGATTAATAATGAAAAATATAAGAAAGATATTTGGTTAACAGAAAAAGATATAAGAATTTATTGTGAGGATGATTAAAATTTTTATAATTTTCTAAAATTTATTTTTATAATAAAAAATAAGGATAATTAATAATAGTAGTAATAATAGAATATAAGCAAGTTTATATATATTAATAGAGATACAAATCCATTAAAACTGAAGCTATTAAAAAACAAAAAATGCAAGTATTTGAAACACAATATGAATTTTTAAAAGAAGAATGTAAAAATTTAAAAGAAAAAAGAAAAATAATAATTTAATGGAAGAAAATAAAGAATATAAAAGGTTATCATAAAACTAATTCATATATACTTTTCCTTAAATATTCTCAAATATTTATTATTAATATCTTTTATCATGTTATTTTTTATTTTTATATTATTTTTTTATAAATATATTATTTCATTATAAAATATCTTATATTTTATTTCTTTATTTATTTTAATTAATTTGTAATATTTATCAAATATCTTTGTCTGAAATATTTACAATCATATCACTATTATTAATCATTTTTTTAATCATTCATCTATAGTTATTTTTATAAAATCATTGAATTTTATTTTGTAATTCTTTGACTTCTTTATATACTTTGTAATTTACCATTAAACTTGAAATTTCTTTTATCTTTTCTAACTGATGTAATTAACAAAAAAAATTTAGATATGTGATTTTGTATGGTTGTGATTTAAGTATTACAAAATAAATTTTATAATGTGTGATAAAATTTTCATATTTCTTTTCAATTTTTTTTACATATTATAAATATTGTAAAAATGAAATCTTTATTTTTCAACATATTTTTATTATTATAACTATAAGACTTCTAAATTATCTTCTGAATTTATAAGTTATAAAACCAAAAATATTTTTAAAAAATTTAAATATTTAATAAATATCATTATTTAACAATCAGTTTGAAATCATTAATATTAACTTTAAACAAAATAATAATAAATTTTTTAAAAAATAATATAGCAAATAATTTGTTATATTTGCATTATGAAATAAAGACTAAAGATTAATAGTCTTGGAAAATTCAAAGAAATTTGCAAATAAATTAATTGAATTTATTGAAGATATAATAATTGAATATAGATTCTTTATATTAATTTCTTTATAATTAGATATATATTTTTTATTAACTATATTATACTTAAACAATTATTAACATTAATATATTGGTAATAAAACAACTATATATTGGTATTACTATTTACAAAGAGATAATTTAGCAAAAAAACTATATAAATATTTAGATCCATTAAAGCAAAAGGATGTATTATCTAAAGAATAATACAATTATAATGGTATTATAAAAATTTCTATTAATAAGTATATTCAGATAGCTGAAATATCTTTCTATTATAAAGATTTATATGTAAGACTAGTTGATAAATTTTTATCAAAATATAAAGGAATTTATAGAAAAAAATCTGAGTTTTTTTTCAAGAAAAATATACACATAGGACCCCGGATATCTCCAAAACAGGTCATAAGTCACACTTTCGGCAGATTGGCCCATTTTTCAGGGGCCCAAAAAATCGTTTTTTGTAAATATCTCGGCATCCAGTGGTCCAATTTTGATGAACTTTTTTTAAATTGTAGAGCTAAATGAGGGCTACAAAATAAAAAAAAGTTCATTAAAATTGAATTACTGGATGCTGAGATATTTACAAAAAACGATTTTTTGAGTTTTAGCAAAAAGGGGTGTTTTTGGCCAAAAGTCCATTATGACCTTTATATTAGATATCCGGGGTCCTATACACATATTTTGCTAATAAGGAACTTGATATATTAATTAAATAAGATTAAATCTATTTCTAGTAAATATATTTAGAATAAAAATAATATAAAGAATGTGAAGGTGTTTTTTATTCCATAATCTTAAAGAAAGTGAAATCTATTTATGCTGAAATTAATATCTTTAAACAATTAAATAAATTAGGGATTAATATTAATAAATATAGAATAGATGCAATTTATAATACTAATAATTTGGGATTTGAATCATATATATTACATGTAAAGGTAAATGGTATTGGTTTCTTACTATTATATTTCTTTTTTGAAAATAATAGTAAATGTAAAAATAGACTAAAAATAAGCATATTACAAAAGTATTTTATTATCTTTTAAGATCAGAAATTATAACCAAAATTCTTTTTAATAGACAAAGATTTTCTCAAATTAATGCAGCATGATTTATATGATTTTATACTAAGATTCAATTGTGCAAATAGCATATTAAAAAAGCTATAATTATATGATTATCAAATAACAAAAATATCAGGTCTTTTAGTTTCAACTCACTATTAGAATTTGGAAAAAAAATTTCCCTTTAATGGAATTCAACAAGCAGCATAATTTTGTTCTAAAGAATTTAAGAACTATTGTGAAAAATAATGGATAAACATTTTCACCAACATCCTTTGATCCCTATAAATAAAGGAAATTTTCTAAGTAAAAATAATATTTATGAAGTATCTGTTTAAGAGATATATAGATTTGCAAGAATAATTCATTAATTTTACTTTAGCAATATCTATGGATAGAATGGTATAGTGAATCAAAATAATTATTATGGATATACTTATCACTAGTATATGATTTTGTTATTAAATCCTGTAATATCCATATATAATCAAGATAAGAAAATGTATTAATTGAGTTTATAAATGTATTAAATAGATGTAAAGATATGATATCTGTATTAAAAACTACAATGTTTATTGAAGGACATTGGAAAACAATTAAAAGAGACTTTTTATACAAGTTTTTTTATTCAAGAATGAATCTTGTTGCATATATTTTAATGAAACAAGTTATCCATTAACTGAGAAAATTGCAACAGATTCATAATAAAAGGAAGAAGTCAAACTGGATCAAGGATTTCAAATCTAAATGGAAAAGTTTGTCCAAACAACTTATTTTCTAATGAATATATAACTGATGTAGAAAACTGGATCTGTGGATGTCCATATTACTTAACTAATAGGTTTAGATTATTATCCCTTAAACGGTAAAACATTGCCGGCAAATTTGCCTGCAATTTTACCGAAAATTCAGTTCTCATCTAATTTTATGAAAAATGAAGTTATTCTAATAAAATTTTTTTTCGCAAAGAGCTTAAATCATAATTTATGTGACAATAATCATTATTTATTAATTACATATTATAAGATTGAAGATTGACCATTGGTCAAAAGTTATATTTTTTAAATGACAAAAAATTTCGAAAAATTTTGCATTTAACTTTGACGATCTCATTGGGATTTGATTGCAGCTATATTAAAGCTTAATTGAATATGTAGAAATTTCTATGATGAACAACTTTTGTTATGATGATTTTTAATGTTTAGAAGTGGCATTTTGACTTTACATAGAACCCTAAAAAAAGAATTATTTTTGTGAACTTGTAAAAAATGCATAAAGTTAAATTTTATCATCTCTATTTTGTTCATTAGAGTGTGAAGTTTCATAATAAAAATAAAAAAATATATTAAAATGCTTTGTAATGAAGCAGAATATTATGGTAAAGAAAATTAATTTATTATATAAAAATTCCGATGTTATTTTTTTGAGGTTAATTTTCGGTGATTAGCAGTCATTAACCACATATCAAAACCATACAATTGATGCTAAAAATGTAGATCAATATAGCTGCGGAATTATAGGATAATCCAAATCATATTGACAAACTTTATATTTGGATATAAATTTATTTTGAAAAATTGCAGGCAAATTTGCCGGCAAAACCGTTTAAGGGATAACAGATAAATTTTTTGAAAATATAAGATGGAAATTACCAACCTCCCTTTTTAATTGAATATAATCAATTATCAATTAACATATATAAATGATAATAAAGGAAAAATTCAGATATTATGCATGAATCAGCTGAAGAAAACATTGGAATGTTTGATGATTTAATTGACATAACCAGGAAGTGCTCTCTTAGAGAAACAAAAATTAGCTGGTAATGTTAAATGGTGTAAAAGTGTAATGAAATCCTTTAATGACATTACTAAATTAGTTAAAGAAGTTGAAAAGTAATAAAGAAAGAGAACTATTCCATTAACATGGAAGGGCCATCAGTAGAATATTATAAATGAATACTTATATGCTCAGTTAGAAAATTTTATTATGATATTAAAAAATAAAATTTATTTTTTAAAAAGAATTATTTTGTTTATTAAGGTTACTTTATCATTTCTTTTTAAAATTACATAATGTATTAAATATTAAATTCGAATCAAAAAAAAATGCAATTTTCGGCAGCACACAAAATCACGTGCCCGAGCTTTTTGTTGGTAGTTGGGAATATCACATGATTATCATATCCCGTGAACTCAAAATATTTACCTCAATTTATTATGGGAAAAAAGTTCACAATAAAGAAAATGAAATTCATTACTCAATTTAATAATTTACAATCATTAAAGATAAGATAGATAATCTTATAATCTTTAATCCAGAAAATCAAAGTAATCAATAACAGGAAAAAAATCAGGTATATTAAAAATTGATATTGATTGAGTCCGATTGGTTTACTCGTCATTATAACAAAGAAACAAGTAAACAAAAAGTGGGGATACAAGGGCCGCAGACTAAGATAACAATAAATGAAATACAAGAGACAATTAAGATTAATGAATCTTTAATCAAGAGAATTAGGAGTCCGGCTATGTTTTTATAGCATACCTTTTTATAGCATCCTCGTTCTTTTTCCTTTTATCACACCAAGGTGGTGGTTATCAGTTTGTTTGAATTACTTTCGATTCTAGTATATAGTTTCTTTGTAATTTTTACTGTAACTTTGTTCACGTTGAGAAATAAAAATAAAATTTAAACAAGAGAATTGGAAGAGTAATTCAATTATAAATAAATCCAAATAATTTGATAAATTACTTAAATAACGCAAGACTATCACTTGTTTTCTTTTTTGTCAATGCACGATCCCAAAGAAAAAGGAATTGGCGACTAGATTTATATAAGGTGAAAGAAATTAAACAATCCTCTGATAGATGGTGAATTACAACTTGTGTAAAAAAAGAACGCGTATATTAA